CCAAAAAATTGGAAGATTTGAACCAAAAATGAAGGCAAGGCCCCCCCCCCCCTACATCAAATGTGCCAACTCCACCATCCCCTTTAAGTCTATTGTGGAACAGATTAGTATGTTCATGGTTTTAAGTTTTAGATCCCGTTCCTTGAACTTCTATCCGTATCTCCCCGGGTTAGGATTGGTCTCTCCCCTCTCCGACCTCGGTCTATCTCCTCCACTACCCGGATACCAGGGTCTACCATCCGGTCCAGACAACTCAGGTTTCCGATAGCATGGCTTATCTTTTCTGTAATAAACATTATCAAAATCTTCAATATATTAAACAGGGCCAATCCGTTTTTCTATATTGTTTCCTTTAAATGGGCAAAAAATTTGAGAATTTTTTCTTTTCCTTTTTTAAACTCAAAACGCCTGTCTTAATACTTTAAATACTTTTTTATTATTAAAACTAACATTTAAAGTAATTAATAAATAAGATAAAAGTTGTCCCACCTAAACTAGTGATGAGCTGAGACATATTCTCACTTGCCAACTTTAAACCATCATCGGAGAGGAGCGGATGAAGATCCTGCTGAGCTCCCAGCTCAAAATGTTTCCGAGCTAAAAACAAAATATTCAATCTTTTTTATTGATTAATTCATAAATTGAAAAAAAGTTTTAAAAAATAGGAGAGAATGAAGAAAATTTGTTTCGTGATTTTAAAAATAAATATATTTTTGTTGTACGGTCAGAAATTAACTATCTTCCTTAAAAGAAAAAAAAGTCAAAGCGAAATGAAAAAGGGCAAGTGGGGTTTTAATTCTATTTAAAACATATAACGGCCGAGTACTGTAATTAAAAATTACCTAAAGCTTCTTGTTGATCCCTAACACTTTCCATCTGCTCAAGACTGTAGGCGGAGTCGAACCCTCTGAGCTCTCCAGTGTTGAACTCCTTGAGGAGCTTGAGCAGACTCTGCTCCATCCTCTGAACCTCTCCATGAGCAGGGAGCTGGGCGGAGGATTTCTGTCTCCGGGTCTCCCTCTTTCTCTGATGATGAGCTAACGTCTAAATAGATTAAATGATAGATTTTAGAATTTAGATAAATGCAACGTCTAAATAGATAAAATGATAAGTTTTAGAATTTAGATGAATGCAATGATAGATTTTAGAATTTAGATAAATGCAACGTCTAAATAGATTAAATGATAGATTTCAGAATTTAGATGAATGTAGAGTCAAATAGATCAAATGATAGATTTTAGAATGTAAATGAATGAACGTCTAAATAGATTTAATGATAAATTTCAGATTTTAGATGAATGTCTAAATAGATGAAATGTTAGGTTTAAGAATTTAGATGAATGCAACATTTTTTTTTCTTAACCAATTGTTTAAAAGTACAGGTATAGAGGTACAAACACTAAAGACAAAAATTGAAAGAATTTCCAACCTTAAGACTATGTTTGCTCCCACTATGAGGAAGACGAGATTCGAGTCTGGTTGGATCCAGGTCTAGCCTAGGACGGGACGGAGAAACTTGCTCCGGAGTTCCAGCCTCAACCTCTATTGCTGGAACCAGAAGAGGAGTAGAGGTCATCATGGCTTGCTCCTAAAATATCATAAACCGTAAACATGAGATTTTAATGACAAAAATGTCATATCTGAATATTAGCTCAGTATTTTACTCGCGTATGCTCGAGAAAACGAAAACTTGATTCTCATATGTTCAAATTTACCTGTACTAAAGGTTGAACCACTGATACAATAGGACTGGACGGAGCAGAATCTCCGAGGAGAGAAACCTTTTCACTATCCATCCTGATCTCCTAAACCAACCCCGTCCTGTTCACAGGCAACTCAGAGCTCCATTCTTCTGAAATGTATCACAGTGTTAAAAGATCTTGTTTACTCCATCTTAGCAGTGAGAGCTAGGACAGTGAAATTAATATTCTCCGGGTCCCGAGACATATACTGTTTACAGGCTCCAGCAGCATCCTTCAAGAAAGTTTCTTTACAAGACAGACCAACGACGACAGGTCCACTCTTCCGACCATCTAATTCATACAGCTGTCCGTCAACATGGACGAAAGTGACGAAATGATAGTCGACACTATCCTCTCGTCCAGGAGCACTAGTCTGACCCTCCTAAACAATTTTCAGTCTTAACTTGCAAGGAAAAGAATAAAAGGGGGCAATGTGCTATTGGGGGAAAGATGGAAAGTTTAAAACTTCAGGCGTGGAGAAATGATACAACTATGAAGAGGTGCAAAACCTATGTTGAGAGATTATTGGGTTCAAGGGAGAGGGAAAATGTAGTTTTTAGAAAGAGGGAAATGCAGTATCTAGGGAGAGAGGGATATGTGGTATCTAGGAAAAGGGTGATTGAAGTGTTTAGGGAGAGGGGGAGATGTAGTGTAAGATCTAAGGATGTTGATATGACTATTGTTCAGGTTGATTCACTAGATGAAGAGCTATGAGACTCTGCGAGTGTTAATGAAGAAGTTATTCGTTCCCATGATAATCTAATATAAAAACGTCTTATCTTGAATCTGAAAATTTTACCTAAGAAACCTATATTTTGGACACTTTTAACTGAGAACAAGAGTTTTATATAAACTGTCAAGTCTTAGATTTTATATGAAAAGCTTAGCCTAGAATATTTAATGGACTTTATGTTTCAGAACATAATGGGATAGGTTTTATTTATTAAAACAAATATCCTGTTAGCTCCAGGTTGTGCGCTCAAGGTTTATTAAACATCTAAATACTTGTCTTATGATGTCCAACGAACACAACTCTATTTTAAATTGAGAAATCTATCGATGTTTATAAAAGTGAACCCAGATAATAGTCTCGTACCACCACCTGTTCTACCCAAACTCTGAACTATAAATATAAAAAGGTAATTAATTGAGAACTTTCAGTTAATCTGACTTGGAATTCTAAGAAATTATTTATCTTTAGATAACCTTCCTGATCAAACCTCCTCCGTACACCTGGTTATATTTCCCAGGATAGAAGGACCTAGCTGTATCCGACGAGATGCTCCGCTGATCTTCTCCTAACTACATAGCCTCCGCCAATTTTATTGGCAAACTTTACATGTTTAGAACTAATGATTCTTTTGATATTTATAGAATACATTTATCTAACCGTGACTGATATTATGTTTTTTCAGTTTCACGGCTTAGAGCTCTTGTTCTTGTGGTTTGCTGGTGAAAGATGTATGTATCTCTTTATGTTAATAGCATGAATACCTGTGGCTCTCAGGTATTGATATTCTTGGTCTATCCTAGAATTTGAAAATGGCAATGTATGTAGTGTTTAAGTAGAGGGGGAAATGAAGTATTTAGGAAGGAGGGAAATGTAATTTGGAAAGAGAGGGAAATGTTGAATCTATGGAGCGGGCAAAATGTAGTATCTAGGGAGAAGGGGAAATGTAGTTTCTAGAAGGGAAAGTGTAGTTTCTAGAAGGGGAAATGTAGTTTCTAGAAGGGGAAGTGTAGTTTCTAGAAGGGGAAATGTAGTTTCTAGATGGGGAAATGTAGCGTCTACAGAAAGTGGAATATGTTGTATCTAGAGACAGGAGAGAATGTAGTATCTAGGGAGAGGGAGAAATGTAGTTTCCAGAAGGGGAAATGTAGCATCTAGAGAAAGGGGGAAATGTGGCATCTAGAGAGAGGGGAACATGTAATATCTATGGACAGGAGGGAATATAGTATCTAGGGAGAGGGGAAAATGTAGCATCTAAAGAGATGGGGAAATATTGCATCTAGAGAAGAGGGTGAAATGTGGCATCTAGAGAGAGAGGAATATGTAGTATCTATGGACAGGAGGGAATATAGTATCTAGGGAGAGGGGGAAATGTAGCTAAAGAGATGGGGAAATATGGCATCTAGAGAGAGGGGAATATGTAGTAGCTATGGACAGGAGGGAATATAGTATCTAGAGAGATGGGGATATGTAGCATGTAGAGAAGAGGGGGGAATGTTGCATCTAGAGGGAGGGGAATATGTAGTATCTAGGGACAGGAGGCAATGTTGCATCTAGGGACAGGGGGAAATGTAGTTTCCAGAAGGGGAAATGTAGCATCTAGAGATGGGGGGAATTGTGGCATCTAGAGAGAGGGGAACATGTAATATCTAGGGACAGGAGAGAATGTAGTATCTAGGGAGAGGGGGAAATGTAGCAGCTAGAGAGAGGGGGAAATATGGCATCTAGAGAGGGGAATATGTAGTATCTAAGGACAGGAGGGAATGTAGTATCCAGAGAGATGGGGAAATGTAGCATCTAGAGAGAGGGGGAAATATGGCATCTAGAGAGGGGAATATGTAGTATCTAGGGACAGGAGGGAATGTAGCAACTAGAGAAGAGGGGGAAATGTTGCATCTAGAGAGAGGAGAAAATGTGGTATCTTAGGAGAAGGGGAGATTGAAAATATAGGAAGTTTAGAATAATTTCCTTTGCAGCATCGTCGTGTTGTTGACAAATTGCGTCATCAGCTTCTAGTAGTTCAGCTCTTTTCTCAGGACTCTTATCATCACTGTCTGTCAGATACTCCTGGTAAAAAAAAAAACTTAGGTCAGAAAATTAATTATTTCCCCTTTTTTGAAAGCATTAAATAACATGATAATTTAAGAAACTTATTATCTTAAAATAAACTTAAAGATTCAAGAGGACGCATTAAAATACATCCCAAGAGTCTAGAGATGGACATCATTTTCGTTAACGACCAAACTTTTGCAGAAAAATCGAAAGAAATCTTGAAATGAAGTGTCGTTTAGAAAATCAACGAACAATTTCAATCGTTCAGAGAAAGGACAAAAAACAGTTTTACACGTTCACGTTCGTTTTTGAACTATTTATGAAATACCTTGAGTGCACCTTCTTTGAGTTTTATACTATCAGTATTATTTGCTACGGAGTGAAGAAGCGCCACTGTTCCACAGGCGTTGCTAATAGTTTGCTTCATGTAGAATACTTTACTTGAGATCTGTTCAGGGTCGGAGCCTGGTGTCTGCTCCTAAAACAATTTCAAATCAAATAACAATTTTTGGGGTTGAATCGAAGTAGTTATACATTTATACCCTACAAAACTTATTACTTAATTATTAAGCATAGTACAATTAATATTTTCTCGAGGAAAATAAATTCCTTTATTTATCTTAATCCTTCTTATCTATATATAAATTTGGCTTGTCTGTCTGTTTGTTTGTCTGTCTGTTTGTATCCAATAAACGTCAAAACGGCTGAACCGATCGGGCCCAAATTTTTTGTGGGACATCTAGGGACCCCAGGGAAGGTTTATGAATGATCAAAATTTCAAATATTTGTCTCCATCGAAATTCGATCTTCATTAAATTTTTGAAAATTTTGAATATCCACGAAATTTTTTGTGAAAATCCGCGAATTATTTTTGTTTTGTTTTACGATGTACACAAAGAGAACATGTTCACAATTAATTTAGAAGAGGCTAGTTATTAATATTATTTAATTTAAACAATCACTTTTAGATAATTGTAATTTAAATAACATCCCATCTAAAAACTTTTCATAAACATACATTAAATTTATAATTTAAAAAAAAATTTAATTAAATATAAAATAACATTTCAATAAATCCTTAAACTTGACCCTGCAAAATTAGTCCTGCTTGAGATTTAAGAGATCCTCAATTTTAAAGAGATAAAATGTCCGATTCACAGAATAGTAATAATATTGTACACTATAAACCTTTATCTGATCACTAAGATGGAAGAGATCGTCGTTTTCTGAGCTTAAGAAGTTTTTATTATCACTTCTTATCCATTGTTTCTGCAGCAAGAAATCCAGAAGTTGAAATTGAAAATAAATATTTTTTTTTTAATATCATGGATGTCTGATTCAGTCTAAAATATAAAAAGTTTTCAAGATTTCCGTTGCAAATCCGACATGCCATTTTCCTAAAAATGGGGAGCGATCACTTGTAATTACATCTACAGTCATTTTAAAGTAATAATACCTTGTGAATAGTTATTAAATACTGTTAAGGAACCAATAGAAATTGTGTTCAAATTCTGAACTGCACTGACCTGTTTATCATTGATAGGGAAGAGGAGAAGGAGAGCAAGGACGGGTTGAGGAAGCATCTGGAGGAGTTCATCATCTAATCCAAACACATCATTTATCTCCCATTCCTCGGGGACTCCAACCTTTCTAAAAACTTCTTTGTCAACCAAACTTTCAACCAAATAATTTTAAAAAGTTTGGTTAAATGGTTTTAATTATCGTTTACCTAAGAAAACTGTTCATAACGTCAGGGTTTGATTCGATTGGAAGCCATCTTTCTGTCGACATTTTTCTTAAACATAATTAATGGTGAAGAACATAAGAACATTTTTCTTAAGTTTTACATAAACAACATTTATATAGTATATATCTGAATATGGCATCGAATAATTGACACATTTTTCACTCTATCGTTAAATTTACCGGTATATGTTAGAAATCACAATAATAATGACAACTATGCAAGTGCAACGTATTTGTATGAATATGTGGTTAATAATAAATCTAAAGAAAACTTATTTTAACCGGGATTCAAACAAATACAAAACAAATCGAGGGTAATTTTATACTTTGTTTTACATAATAAGTTTGGTTGATACGAAACACTGAAGTGTGGTTTACAAGGACCCATATTGGTTGAATTTAATTGGTAAAGAAATATTTTAAATGTTTGTTTGACACGAATATCAATTGTAAATTTATGTAGTTTAATAAATGCTTTGTTACAAGGAAGTTACTGAAGGAAGAATCTAAGTGGTTTAATATATATATAGGTCCTTGTATTTTACATGATTACAAGTTTTTAAAATTTTAAGTTTTTGAATATCAGGGATTGCGTTGAGTAGTGTTGGACGGAGAAGGTTCGGGTTCAAGTGTATCCGTAGTCGTGTATTCTCCCTGACAACAGAGCTTTTTCTTCTGGAACCCGTAGAGAATGAGCAGCAAAGCACCCGAAGTGATGAAGGTGTAGGAGATTAGGATAAGAAACCCAAAGGTGCGCGGGTTCGGGAGGAACAGCACACACACAAACTTGATCAGGTTCATGGAAGAATTGAGCGAGGTCTGAACTCCTCCGATGATTCCTCTCCGGTTCTCCTCAACGTTTTCTTGGAGAATCTGGGTAATTGACAGATCTGTGACCCAGAGACCGAACCTCGCGAGCATGATTCCTAATAACATGACTCCGACTGAGATAAAATTTGCATACCCCATGGTAACTGAACAGTCTCTAATCTTAACATCCGTAGAGTTAAACTCCAAGCTCGAGTTGACCGGAATATTTGTCCAGCTCCATGTAGGATCGAACACAGAACCCGGGAGCCAAATTGATATAACGCAGAATGAGAGGCTGAACAACAGTAGACTCATCCCAATAACTCCAGATTTCTCCAAGCCTAACTTACTCCGAAGGGCTGGGAAAGTTCTACTACCCGCTATGCCAATGAGCCCAGATATAGCAACTAGAATTCCAAGAACCCATTCTTCAACACACTGGAGCAGACTGTAGCTCCAGGTAATATTATCGAAACCTAGAACTGTCATATAAAGAAAAGAAAGCGCGAGGCCAGCATTTCTAATGTCATGCGTCATGTAGATCGACCAACCTTTTAAGGAACTTTTAACTAGTGTTTGAATCCAACTCTCCTTCTTTACGTCGGTTTTAACCGGAGCTTTCCGTCCCAGTTCCGTGTACTCTTTATATATAGAGACAAGAAGAACATATTCCAATATCACTGATAAAACGTTCCATATCCCAATAACTGCAGCGGCAATGACGTATGAAGCGTAGGAGAACAGTAAACCGGCCAGGATTGGAGCAAATGTTTGACAGGATAGATCTATGGTTCTAAAGTTGGCGTTTAGTTCCGCTAGTTTATGATCATCTTCTCCAGCAATAACAACAATCCAATCCTTCTCCGCAACAATCCTTGAACCATGAGAAGCAAGGTTTGCAATAAGAGCTGTAACCATAATTACCGCAGCAACCACTTGTGGCAACCAATCTTTATGTTCACTGTCAATGATAGTTTCCCTGAAGAAGAAAAATCCTCCTAAAAGAACACAATCAAACATGACGCTTACATTCTGTACAAGGAGAAGAATCTGCGCAGCTTTCAATCTCTCCGTCCTGTCTATCCAGTTTCCAACCGAGGCTAAGAAGAGTATATCACAAAGGGACATGGCTAGACCGTATCCTGCCACTAGCATCAGGTTTGTTGGCTGGATCTTGAACAAGAAAAGTCCGTAACCAAAAGCCCATAATCTGTCACCCCAGGCAGTAAGCATTCTTGAAGTGTAAAGTTTCCAGACGTTTCGTTTGGTCGGAGCAATTTCTTGTCCAACAGAGATATTTTCAAGAATACAAGGGACGGTTTCATTTTCAGTCTCATCATTCACTTTCATGGTCTCAGTTTTCACCCCATTTAATAGCTCCGACTCAAGCCCACCGTGCTCAACAGTGTCACCGGATTTTAACCCGTTCTGCTCCATCTTTCCTCCCTTGGAAAGGATTGGAGGATCCGTATTCCGCTCGGAATGACTGGATCAACGGGGTTAAATTATTCTCAGGGAGTAGAGTTGAGTAGGAGAGTAGACCCCGGCGCGTTCCAAGTATCTTCAGTCCTCACAGTTAGGTTGCATTCTCTCCGTATATCCAAATTATATAGTAATGATCCGACACCAAACCTCGATAGAAGCTTTCCTTTCTGTAAAATAAAAATAAATATAGTGGGTCACCCTAAACATGATAATATAAATGCTCATTACTCAATTATTTTTCCAAATAGTCAAACCTACTCAAAAATTTCACAAATTCTACCCCCAAGAAAAATGATGGGAAATGAATTCCAAGAAACAATATACTCCTGGACTGACAAATATAATCAATCCCGGTGCCATTTATGCTGTTTAAAAGGCATTATTTTAGGGATTATTATGCATTGCAATATAAATATTAAAAAACTATATCTTTTTAGTTCTCGAATTTGGTGAAGGAAATCAAAACGAAATCTGGGGGGGGGGGAAGAATAAAAAATTAATAAAAAAATTATATACACCCCTGATTCAAAATCTATCCTAACTTCATAAAAATCATAAAACAATCCCAAAACAAATTTCGCAAAATTAATGACATTTGTAAATTCTTGTTTTTAAAACATATTCTGGTTTTGAGACAATTACTCGAATTCACAATTTGCAAGCATTTACGCACCTACGAAACAAAACAAGATTTTTCGATAAGGGAAAATTGAAACAAAATAGAAAACAAAAAATATTGTTTTTTTTTAGTATAAAAATCCTTATTGTATATTATCAGGGGCGTAGGAGGAGGGCCGGCCCCCCCCCCCCACCCATGTAAAAAACACTTTCAAATCTCACTTTTGCCCTTTACTAAAACAGTTTCATTAAAAAGGCTTTAATCAATGCTGCCTCCAGTGTAAATATATCTTTGATATCATTATTTATAATTATACAATATGTATAGTTTCTATGAAAATGTAGATATTTTTTAAGAAACGTTTCCATCTCTATTTTTCACCCATCTAAGCTTACACCACAGCATTAAGAGGAAGTGTCTGATGAGTCCATTTAAGAAAATTACAAAAAAAATTAATTAACACTTGTTATATGGAAGTGTTTTCTGTGTATATGATCGAATAGTTTACATACGTTAAAAAAGGCACAGGACAAAAAAATTGTGACCCCCCCCCCCTACACAAATGCTCTCGTACGCCCCTGAATATTATCGAGAAATTACAATTAAATATTAACTTGTTCTTACAATATATAGACCTCACTAGAAATCCGGGAAATGTTTATTTAGAATGCGGGAAATGAAATCAACTTTATTCTCTTTTTTAACAAATAAAATAGGGAAATTAAGATTTTAGAAATAATTTAGCACCCTTCATAAGATATACTTTACTTTTAGTGATTTATTTTGTAAGTTATGAAAGTGAGTTTTGTTTTGAGGATTTTACTCAAAAACGGGAAGTGGGTTTTGTCTCGAAAACGCGACAATATGATTCAAATTCAGGATATGTTTGGAAATGGAAAACCTGACATTGTATTTTATATAAAAAGAACTCCTTTTATAATTTTAATTTCAGAAATTAGTTTTAAATTGGGAATTATTGTCCTCATCATGTTTAATAAAATGTTGGTTATAGTTTTAATTTTCGATTTTTACTCTCGATATGGGTCGGGATCCTAGAACCCAGTCTATCAAGGAGTTGAGTCTTTGCCACAAACTTTGATTTTTAAATACCTATATCTTTGGAACCAAATGTCGTAAACCTTTCATATTTCAAACTTATATTTTTTTATCTAACAGAAGTCAGTTTGAAATGTAATAGGTCTACGACATTGGAATTTTTTTTCATAAAGCATAAAATCAATTTAGAAAAATGTAAATTTAATAGTTATAGAAATTGTTAATTCATTCTTACTACCGTGTATTTGACCGATAAATGAGATAACAGTTAATACTCCCTTACCTACACAACTTCACATCTATATCACTATTCCAAGGATTCCAAGTATAAACGTAGCTTTGACCATTTTTTACATATTTAAATCTAACATATCCAGCAATTTAATGAGAACACTTTTTCAAAACATCAATGATAAAATAATTTCTATTTTGGTATTGCAAGTGGCGGTTAATGCCGAATATTACACTGTAAACACACACGGGGAATGGAAATGGAAATGGGTTCCCTATAAATGAGAATCCTTTTCCGACTTTCAAGGATATCCCTTTCCATAATTTCAGAATATGATTCCTTTTCATCCCGGAAATCATTTTCTTAATTTAGGAAAGAATATTCTGTCATTATCGGAAATTGATTCTGTATTTTATGTATTAGAACTCAATTCCGATATAAAAAGAATATAATTCTAAAATAAAAAAACGATTCCGAAATTCGCGGAATTTAATTCTAAGTAAACGGAACGGAACTCATCCCTGAATCAGATCCAAGATGGCCAGTACAGCTGATTTTTCGGTCGGTGATACATCTTTTAATTCCTAGACTATATTTAAAAGAATCTTTAAACTTTTAAGCTAATTAAATTACTGTTTGCAAGATCGGTTTGGATAACAAATCAACACTTCAAGTCACTGGTACGATATAAATTCAAAATTTATTGCGGGTATGTTTGATAATATAACGAAATATATGAAATCTTTTTTTTTGTACGAGTAATGCATGGAATATCATCGGCATTCTACCTGCAGTTTCGCTTACGGGTTACTCAAAATTTTAAAATAGTTTTAAGCCAGCTCTGCACTTCATCTATTCATAATTAAAATAATATACCTTTTATTGTACTTTCTCAGAAATACGTTTGCATTTATCTTATAAGACAAACAAAGTCAGGTTTGTATTTACCGTGTCTTGAAAAACATTTCCCTAACAACGGGATTTTAAGATACTTTATTGTTTCTGAGAGCAACTAAGTTTAAATAGGATTTCACAATACAAAGTTTTCGCGCATTATTATCTTTTAAGACGATAATTATATAAAACTACTTTTATAGAAAATCAATAATTTAAAATAGTAGATATTTACTTAAACTAAAAAGAACAAAATTTATTTAGCACAGAGAAAAGTTATGGGCTTATTAAAGCTGAGTTGAAAGTAATGTTAAGAATCAGGATCAAATAGATTCTAGTACAATAGATGGCAACGTAGACTTTGTACACTCTCAGTACAGCTGTATTCTTACATCACAAGTGTCAACTTAGTTGTTGTGTCCGACAAAATTATTAATAATAGTGATAATTTTAGAATGAAGTGCTTATCTAACAGTAAATTAAGTGAAATTTTATGTGTTCTTCATTTTCTGTTTTTACACTTTTATTTAATCTTGGAAAACATGTCAACAAAAATGAGAAAATGTCTTTTTCCTTGTTTTATTGACACTTGTGACGTCCTGTATAATTGGTCCATTTCTCTGTTGCCAACTTTTGTACTTGATAATCTATTTGATCAGGATTAAAGACGAGATATCTCCGTAGCTGATGACAGAACGTCCTTTATATCTTGTACAGATGTATCTACAACATCCCTTGTAGCATTCTTCAGATATAGAACAGACAGTTCTAAAATACGATCCGTCACTTCACGGAGTTCAGTCATAGTTTCACGGGATACTTTTAGAACCAAACCGTCCCCATCTAGGACTTGACCCGAGTAGGGCAGTAAGGGATACTCTGTGTACGGAGCTAGATTATCCTCAGGACGGTTTCCATCTCTCCGATCTTGGATACGTTCTCTTTCTCGGAGAAGTTGAATGATTAAGCCATGTGGATCGGTGAGAAGGTTTCTAGGTTCTTCTCCGATCATCTCCAGGTCCTCACAGAGCTCTCTGTATTTCCGAGATAACACTCTCCTTAACAAAGCATGACTAGTTAGACTAGAATAATCAGTAGATGTGTGAATATGTTGCATGACTTTGACTTAATTTAACTAGTAAAACTTAATAAAATTACTATTTCCTATAATAAATAAGTTTGGTGATAATTGACTGCGCGAAGGAAATTTAACTCTACTTTTTCAATCGAAGGGGTTACGCATAACGAACAATTTGTGCACAAAGTACTTAAATATTTATTAGATTAATTATTGACCCTTGAAATAAAACCAATTGTTCTACTATATAAAACGTTAATTGTCTTCGTCCCATCTTTCTAATAATTTGTCAGAAAAATCTGCCAAATTAATTTCTTTTAAATAGGACAAAATGCATGTTGAGCAGACCTTATTGTTAACAAATACCGTCTGCTGTTCATAATTTCCCCTTGAAAATGAAAGGTTAAATGTGAAAAACCAATATGGTGGCCTTTTTCAGTTCCAACCGACTTCAGTGGACTTTAGTTCCAAAACGGTATTCTGGACAATTTCTAAGACTCAGTGTTAGAAATGGGCCAAATCGCGGTTTGGAACTGATGTCCCCTGAACTTAAAGATCAATTAGCTCATATTCTACTATTTCTATGATGCCAAATTAAGTGTTTATTGTCCTTAATTGCTATTGTCATTAAATTATATTTTCACCGAATTGTATCAAGTTCACGAAGGATCAGGGTTGGCATAAAAAACCAGCCCAAAAAAAACGACCCAAAAAACACACTTGTTAGTTGACTTTTCTGGGTTTTTATATGATTCTAAGTATACTTATATGATAAAAGCCTATTATCGCAACATTATTATTATTCATAACTATTAAGTCCACCTATTGCTTAAATAGTCCTAATATTATTAATTGGTATGTATTTTAGTAGGTTTTAACAACTTTCAAATTGAAAACCCCAAAAAACCAATAAACTCGAAAAAAAACCACTGACACTGGGCTGGTTTTTTTAACCGGAGTTTTTCCCAACCCTGAAAATGATAAGTCTTTAGAGACGATTGTACGAAATATCTTTAGTCCGTTTTCTTGCATTCATTATACTGTGCTTAATAGGGGGGGGGGGGGCATAAAACGTATTACTCTTAGGAAAATTTAAACAGTGTTTCAACATAACTTAGAATTGTCGTAGGAGGCTGTTTTTTTGCATGCACACTCAGAATTATGTATATTACATGCATTTTTTGGTTTTGAAGGAATCAGAGCAAAAGTGCGCGCGCGCGCTTTTTGTGAACAAATGCGACTTTTATGACAGTAAATCAATGTTAACTTCATTAATTGCACTTGAACATTTTTCCTGACACTCTTGAAACAAATATGCGCTAAAAAAATTCACCTCCAAAAGCTTAATTGTCCGCGCGCGCACGCAATAAAAGAAAATATCTTTGAATACTTGTGTGCTAAGTTTGGCCTATCAAAACCATCAAAATATTCAATTCAATGCAGAAACCACACATAAAACTTCAAATCGTCATATTTTTAGAGTTTTGAGTCGTCTTTACAGTCTCATCCTCTGTGGGTAACAGTGCAGTTTACCTATATGATGATAAAAGTTGCTGCGCAGTACTGACGAGGATAATTTTCCAGGCAGCCTTCAGTCTGCTGGCGGAACCGGTCAGAGCATACGAAGCAGAACTTAAGCTTGAGCTTATCTAAACCATATTTGAAAATTTAAAATAATCAATTTGGCATTTTGACCATAAGTACAGTCGTCGTAGTCGTATACGTCAATTCAATGAAAAAAACTTTCGATTTCAATTTTTATTTCTACTAAGCTTTAAAACAGCATGGATAGTGGATACACATAAACATTGAAACAAACAGAACCTTTCAATTAAAAAATTCTCTTTGTTTACTTGGAAACATGTAATTGGAAAAACGTCTGTAAGAAATCAAAACGTAAATAAAAAAGTAGTCTTTATTGTATTGAAATAAACGCCGACCACTGTATTAGAATGAATCTTTTAAAAATGTGAAACAGGAATTCCGAAATATTTCCATTTTACCGCTTATGTACTGTAGACAAAAATAAAAACTTCATAAGCTTCTAGGTAAATTAATGAAAAACACAGGAGAAAAGCATATTTCCTTAAAACATTTTTATTTAACTATAGAAATTATACATATTTAATATTAATACATCACAGTCTTACAGATATTTCGTCTATTTTATCAAATACTATTAATCTTATAATTAATTAACAATTAACATTTGTTTACATATTTAATATAACTCTCAATCTAGCATATTGTTGAAGTAAGCTGTTATTATATTTTTCATTTATGCAATATATATTTTAGGCCTACCATATGAGTATATGATTGATTTTGTTAACATTATGCGATAACCAAAACATTTTTCAGTTTAAAATGGGCAAAAACCGAAGTTAAAATGTTAAAATTCTATATAGATTAAATAGATTCAAACCAATAATGACTAAATCTAATTATATCTAATGTTCTACTTAAGTCACAGCTACGAGGATATTTTCAGTCTATATTTACACTTGATCCAAGCACTAAGTTTAGCAAGGATAAGCTCTCATGTCCACTGTATCTGGAGAATTTGATCTTCTTCCTGGCTTTCTTTAAATCATCTCGGTCCACCTTGAACTTGAGAAACAGATATTTTCTGTCAAAATTGGATAAAAAATCACAATTCTGATTAAACAGATCACATTTAGCTAGATGATGAACGAACTCAAGAACTGAGGAGGATCCGTGGATATTCTGAGTGTAGAGGTGCTTAATGAACAGATTGTGCCCGGGTTTGATATTGAACCTGTGTTCCTTCAAGAGCCATAGCTTCAACTCTCGACTCAGGAACATTAACGTTCCATCAGATCTGGTAATCAGGAGATCTTTTATTTTACTGTACTCATCCTTTACTGTTTGGAAACTGATATCTGTCTCCAGGATGGCGTAAACCTGTGGAAGGGAGATAGGTTTTGGAGAGGATAAAACTACGCTAAGGATGTTGGATACAATACTTCGGTAGGAAACTGAGCATGGGAATCTAATACTGAGGATGAGATGAAAAGCCTCGTTCAGGTTCCGAGGTACTTGTGATAAGGATTCAGACCTCAGCGTGAGGTTGCCAATCTGAATTAGCTCCAGGATTAACTCGGCATAGAGAAATGAACCCTGAGCGTGCATAAGGATAAACTGAACTAGTTTAGCAAGGAGCATGTTTGCCTTCTTCGGGTTGGAATGAGTTATATTGGAAAGGATGCTTTCTGACGAAAATATTTTGGTTTCGATGAACACTTGTAAATCATTTTGCAATCCTAGACTTTTCTCTATGTGCAAGTCAATATAGGGCAGGTGCATCAGATGAGTCAGGTCTACTCTATTGCTTCGATGAGAAACCACAAGTTTCAGCCAAGCAGGAAATCTGAGGATATTTCTACTTAGAAAATCTGAGATAGAATTTATCTTGATTAGATCCTGATTCTCGTTGTCCAACCCGTCAATAAGTATCAGTGCTCTTTCTAAGCTTATCTTGTCCTGTCTAAACAAAGACCTCAAAGGATCAAGAACTCCTTGCTCAAACCCAACCTGAGGATTTTGTCTTAAACTGCTCATGGTTAACATAGATTGGAGATGGAAATCTGTGCTGAGTAGATCCATGTAAGCTTTGAGAGCAGGATGTTGGGAGAGCTGAGCTGCCAGGGAATGGATAAATCTGGCCAGGTCTAAGGTTGTAGGATCGTCCTGGATGAGGAAATGATATCCAACCACACTAGAGGAAAATATGGAGCAGTCAGACTGAACTCCAAAAAAGCTTCTCTGTACCAGGTCCAGAATAATAGAGGTCTTTCCGGTCCCAGATTCTCCGGAGAGGACCACACCCCGGTTCTCCAGGAGCTGTTCATCGATGTTTTCCAGAACCTCCACTCTCCTCATCATCTTCTTCGTTACTGGGACCTCGAAATACAGGGGTCGAAGACGTAGAATTCCATCTATACTGTGTTTTCCATGTTTTACCGGTGTTGAAAACGAGTCATCAAATTGAGAAATGGCCGAGTCAGAAAAACCGGAATCATTAACACATAATCGATCACTTATGTTCGTCACAACACTTCCGGAATCGAAATCGGAATTTTTATCTTTTGTGAAAACGTTTTGTGATTCTCTGGCTTTGTCCTCCATCAAAACTTTCCGGATTCGCTTAATACTGGACCCAGCACATTTAGGTAGAGTATTGTTTTCGAGCAATTCCGAGATTTTTTTATTTATTTTGCTCGAAGTTCGACCCATGTCCCCGGGCTGTAGATTATATTTTGTAACTGTTCAACTATGTATGTGCTTCCTGCTTGAATGTTCTAGATATACTAAGGCTTGTTCGGAATATAATCCATGTTTTGCAGGATTTCACCATCCTTGATGACGTCATAATACTCCAATCATACCCTCGGCCTCATACTTACACATTTCATCATGTGGAAATCAAAACTTTAGGAATTCATAGATATTTATTCTCAAGGTTACTTCTGGACCAAATGGATTTATGGCGCATCGTGCCTTTCAACATAAGGTTTAGAAAAGTCTGGTTTTACAAATAATTTTATTGAATAATTCGTCTAATAGACACAGTGGCATATAAATACCCNTTTTATTAAAATTTATAAAATAAAAAAATATCTTATAAGAGTCTACCTGACTGACTTCTGAAGTTTGAATGAGCGGAGCTGGGATGAGCCTGGAGAGATAATCTTGAACAATCTCCTCTCTCCGTCCTGCTTCACTCTTCTCAACAACCTCGTCGACAAGTTCTTCTAGTAGCTCGTGAACCAGCTCCTCGGAACTCTGCTCTGGATACCGGAACCTTGTCAAGGATAAAGAACTTGCCAGATTTCCATTTTCCCAAACTACGTTGCTCTCTAAAAATTAATATATATTAAAGACCTTAAGCCACGAATTTTGAAAAAACATCCCTGACAATTGTCATAAGATAATTTCAATAACCTTTCAGGCAAAAGATTCCTTTAAGTGGTTCGCTCAAGACCGGTTAAGAGGGCCCAGGTTAACTAACGAACACTATTCAGGGCAATAAAACTTAATATTTTTCCTAATTTTCAATACAACGTTTCTTTTAAATAGGCTCTTTGCAAACAAACAGACATCCAACAAGACTTTAAAAATCTAAATATTTTTTTGCTTATAAAATAATGGTCTGATACCTAATGATAATGCGTCAATGTTTCTTCTAAGGTTTCTTTCTGTTTCGTCACTGTATGAAACATTCGTCTGATTGGTATAGTTCACAATATTACTTGATGAATCGTATTTTATACTGTCAATAATAACGCAGGATCTACGCTTGTTTAGTTTGTCCATTCTTTTCTAGATTAGGAGGAAGAAGATTTGGTCGGAGTATCATCACTTTCACTCATATCCATCTCCTCCAGCTGACGGTGTCTCTTCATGTTGGAAAGAACATTCCCGAAGGATGTCGTCAATTTCCGAGCCGAGCCCTTCAGCTCAGAGTTAGGATTTCGTCGCTGAGGGGTCACCACACCGCCGCCAAAATCTTCGGCGTCGAAATCAAAATCTTTGTTCTCAACCTCCTGCTCAGAGGGGTCGGTCTCCTCCGTGCTTACAACAGCTTCGGGCGTGGGAGGACGTCGCCCTGGATTTTTCCACTTAAGCTCTGAAATATTAAAATTTAAGTTTTGACGATATAAAAAATTATCTGAAGAGGAAACTGCACAATTAAGACATCTTTTTACAGATTAACTCATGAGCTAAATGGATCTTGAGTAAACAATATTATGTTCATTTGATAAGTATTTGTTATCATTATCTATGTTTAAGCAACGCACAGATAAAGTATTACATTCTGTCCACATTGTTGTCCTCAAGCTGGAATACCAAAGTAAAGCGTACAATCAACTGTAAACATAAGAACATTTTGCTTTCTTTTAGATTTTATCTTATCTAATGAGAACCGTTAGAAACAGTGAACAGTAAACACAGATTAAATGCAATTTTTAGAAAATAGACCTAAAATTAATCGACCATTACGTTTCAATAAATGTAAAATTTCCTAAATATTCATCGGATGCTAGTTCATACCTCATTGAATCAATCCGTTAGTTCTATTGTTTGGACAAGAAAGAGATAATAAATTCAATGAACATATTTCTTGATATTTATATCAGGGCCGGGGTTACATTCTTACTTACTGAGGAGGGATAAAATAAAAATTTGACCAAACTACAGGCAAGAATAAAAAATTAAATATACATGTTTGAAAGGAGAGGAAGAAGAAAGAAAAAAATGTGTCAATAATAAAAAGAAAACTTCCCTTTTGCTTGAATTATCTTCTGTTGAAGTTTATTAAAAATCAAAAGAGGGAAATTCAGTTTTGATTCAATTATGTTCCCTCAAGTTTCCTGGAAAGTCAAGTGAAGATAATTCGGCTTGATTTTAACCCATCACAATTGTCTTGGAAAAAAAGATTTAAAAGAAGGTCAAAGAATTTTCTTCCCCAGAAGTTCCCAAAGAATGTAGCGAGTGCAGGCTTTAAAGGGAGTGACCGGCAATGTATGGGGGTTGAACTGAGTATGTAGTGTTGTGGACAAATTCTCTAAGTTTCATTTCAGACATAAAAACTTTTCAGGATGTATAGTTACTGAGTTTGAGCGCAAAGTCGACGTTCAAAATCATGAATTTGGGTGGGTACGTTTTCAGAATCCGGCATACAGTAAACTAATCAGATGTTTAGGAACATATTTCTCAAAAGAAACTTGTCAATAAATCGAAGTTAGAAAAAATTATTTCCTTTTTCATCATTATATTGAATTTTATATTTTAAATGAATTTGTTCGCAGATCTCTTCACATTCTACAAATGTCACCTTTTTAATAAAAATTCCAGAAAATTTTTGTGATTATAGAGATTAATAATTGAATAAGATTACTTATTTTCGACGATAAGAGTTAATTTTTCATCTCAACCTGTTTCTTAACAACTAATTAGTTTACTGTTTACATTTTTTGTCGTCGTTATTTAATAATTAAAAAAAATTCTAAAACGTATCCACCCAAAAGTAAGATTTAAAACGTCGACTTTGCACTCAAACTCAGGATTTACAGATCTTTAAAAAGTTTTATACGTGTCAAATGAATTCTAAAGAATTTGTCCACACATTGCATAAGTTTAACTACCTTACATAGCCGGTCTGTCCCTTTAAAATATAAATTTTCCTGTATAGAAATGTATTTAGTTGTGAATTCAAATTCGCGGGGCGCGTAGGAGCGCTGAAAAATCACGGAAGAAAAATAGGCTTATTATAAATTAAGGGGGGCAATCAACGTTCCGTAATAATATACGATCTTGTAATATTTTCCGGCAACAAGGAATCCTTTTGAACGCTTACCTAGTGTTTCTCCTTTCTCTAACTTCTCAAACAACTCGATAATTTTCTCCGGGTTGGGGGTATACGGTGTAAACTCGTCCTTCATTTTAGCAACAAAACATCATCTGAAGATAAAATGTGAAGAAAGAAAAAAATATATATTTATTTTAAATTAATAGGATTTTTTTCAGACAACATTCAACATAGATTTAAACATCAAAAAATCATTAAATGATACAACATGTTTAACAAAAATAAATATATAAATATTTAGATCAAGCTCGAAACTACGAGACTTCTATTCTGAATGTAGAGGTACAGGAATGAGTACAGGATGAAATTAAGTAAGAACATAGATGTACAGCACGGCCAAGTTAACTGCTAAACTTGCTCCGAGTAGAATACCCAAGGGTGTGATTGTTATTGTTAAACTCCATTGATCCAACGGAGATTTTTCTTTGTCCGGAGTTGAACTCGGGATTTTATCCTGTAGGATGGGAGATGATTGAGCCACGGGTTTACTCGTGTTGAACCGAACCTGGGAGCTCCGATCCACGCTCCTGTCTGATAAATCATCATCCTGCGGAAAAAATTCAAAATCTGGACTTTTCATAAGTTAAAAATTCTACAAAGCCAATTAAGTTTTGCTGGAAATTAGATTGAACTATTTTAACATTAGAAGTATTTTAGCTTTTAAGTAAATGTCACAATTTTTGTGAATGAAAAAAAATCACTTTGTTTACCAAAGTAGAACGGCGACGGGTGATGAATTTCTCCGGTCTAAGCTGAGTCATGTTGGTGGGTTCAACTCTCCGCATGGGTTCAGAAAACACGGAAAATCTGCGAAATAAACACGTTAGAAAGCTTTTAATCATGAATACTTTTTTATGAATATTCGTTCCTAATTTTTGTTCTAACCTGTCACAGTCTCCGTAGATAGATTGAACAGGAGAGTTGGGTAGGGATACGTAGTTCTGGGGAGGAGATATCAGGGAGAAATTATGAACTGAGGGAGCAACTAAAAATAATACAGTAAATGATGGGTAACTAAGTTAAATGCTTGACTTGTGTCGCCTGAGTAAGTTTGAAACTATGTTTTTTTTAAAATAAACTAATAATAATAAAAATAATCGATGAATTATCATTAAGTGGAAATGAAATGTATTTTTGTTACTGACCCGAGGCAGAAACAAATCCCGAGGATTGACTTGATGATCTAGAGATAGGTTCTCCAAATACTTGTGTTGTGGGCGGAGTCCAATATCCGCCAGCGACCCAGCTAGTCAACCTGGAGGGGCGGAGGACAGGGCGAGACGGTGCAAACCTAATCCCACTCCTGTTCTCCGGAGTATAGAGTCGAGGAGAGAAGTGACAAGAACGGACGGAGGTCGGTCTTACTGCTTCCTCCTCACCTAGAGTTAAACTGGAGATATCATAATCTTTAACATTCTCAGTCACAAACTCATGGTTAAGCGAGTTGGTATCTCCGGAGCGGAGAAGAGGGGAACTCATCCTAGATGGTGAGAGAAGGTTGGAGGCAGTCTGGAAAAGGAAACTAGGACTTGGACTCAGCAGTTTAGTTTTCGGTGTGAATTCGGAGATGCTAGTGTTACTTCCCCCTTCTCCGGAGTCCGTCGTGGATTCTGTCTCGATAAACCTACAGCTCATGGTGTCAACTACAGGTCGCCGACTCACAGGTTTTTTGGATTTGGGTTGTTTGACTGGAACTACGGTAATAAGGAAACCGCACAAACATGCTATAGTAAGTTGGATCTCGTGGCTTAGGTTCAAGAGTAAGCAAAGCATTGGAAGAAATCCAACTACAGAGACAATCTTGATTCTTAGTAATATGAGAGATGTTAACGCAAGGATGTAAACTAGAAAACTGTGGATTGAGTATGAATTTGATTGTATCGAACTACTGATAGCTCCGAGACTATGCTGAAGCTGAAGTGGGAGGAAGTTTGAATATTCTCTGCTTAAAGCAGGGTTCAGCAGAACAAAAAACAGGAGCATAGACAACAACACTTGACTGTCACAAAGATAATTGAGGATCGGAGATATCCTGGTAGATTCAGAGTACAGAGAACTGAGACGACTTGTTTCTAGTTTATGCTCAATGATCCCAGGAGCTAGTTTGTTGTCCTGCTCCAGTAGCTTTGAAGTTAGAACTTCTTCACATCCAGCACACAACCTTAAAACAAAATATTGAAGACAAAGAAAATGTTTTTTTTAAATATCTCAAAGGATGTCTTAAAAGAATTTGGATCTTTAAAAAAGAACAACAATTTAGTTATTTCTTCTTTTAACTCACTGAACGATCTTTTCCTTAAAATACTTGCTTAATTTTATATTAATCCTCAGTTGTTACCTATAAACTCTCTCTAAATGCAACCTATAATCCTCAAGTTCAGATCCTTCTCCAGGAAAACTAGCCAGCTGGGAGATCTTCAGTTCCTAAAAATTTTCATGATTTTCAAAGATTGGTCAGAAGTAAGAATAGAATTTAAGTTGCAAATTTTTTTGGAGCTTTTTCTATTTATCTTTTGGTATTCGCTTCATTTATCGAGTGAGATGTCCGATTCACAACAGTACCCTTTAAACCTTTATTTAAGTAACAATAAGGAAGACAAGACAAAAACATTTTTTATCCAGAAAGATCTGACAATTTTCTTCATTGGCTGAACCTGCTGAATCACCTTTGCAGAGAATCCACAATTAACAAAATCAATTTAAAAACTAGGATATAAAACACAAGTTCCGTTGTAAACCGGACATGTCACATTATAAATAGAGGTTCACTTTATCTGCCAGCTTTAGTCTTCACATTACCCAACCCCTTTTAGAACGACTTTTTTTAACTGTTAGCCATTTTGGAAATTGATTAAGAATTGCTATGCTCAAGAGGAAAAAAATAAGAATTATTATCATTCATAAACTTATGACAGTATATGTACCTGATTCAAGTTGCATGATTTACAAAACCCATTCTCCGCATCCTTTCTCTCCTTCATGTTCTTTACAAACGTCTGTAAGATGGATTGTATGTGATGAACAGGTTTATTATAATCGCCATCCTCGTTAAATCCGTTGTATTGATCACACCTGGAGCAGGTCCAACTATTTCTCTGCTCAAAAGGGACCTGGAGAAAAAACTGATTATTTATCGAACCGCAGAATGAATTTTAACACACACAATCAATCAATCACAGTTTTAGATATAATACAGGGTGCCCCATTAAACATGGCAATTCAGTGACGAAATCGATATAGTCTTTTTAAATAATTCTTTGATTTAGTATAATGATACCTACTTGAGAAAGTTGTAATCTGTAAGAGTTTCGTCTGCTATATTCACATTTTGTTTGTTAATATTTTGACTGCATACGGTTGTACTTAGTAAAACAAGAAAAATGCAGTATACAAACAGAGTAAACTTAATTGTCCGTCTTCACTGTTCATCTTGCGGAGACATTATAGACACATATTGACAGTCATTTACCCTTTTGAAAAAATAAACTCTAGCAGACATAATAATATTATGGCTTTTGAAATGAGGTATTACAATGCTAATTCATAACAAAGACGATATCGAATTCGTCACTGAATTCCCATGTTTTTTGGGACACCCTGTAATCTAACAGGAGATTAAATTACTAAATCGAGGAAGTGATATGCCAGGTGTTTAAAAAAAATATGGGCGTTACTTTTGATTTAAGTTTTCTATATACAAGATCGTCGATATTGATTTGATCCTCTTACTGACCTTCGAATCAACGTCACAGAAATGGCAATTCACAGTATATTTAAAATAAGGTCTGGCCAGCCTGTAGGTCACCGCACCAGCCACAGCTACCGTCCCCGCCGCTACAACTGCCATTTTCACTGAAATTAACTCCGCAATGCTAATATTAAATCATGTAAGTATTGACGAAAACTGTTTACACTCTCTTCGCTTAAAATCGGGACGGATTCAACGGATTTGTGAGCTATAAAGTGATCTGTTATATTCTCCAGGTTCCAGGACAGATATCTCCTAGAGTAGGAATAGTAACAGTTCTGTTATATTCTCCAGGTTTCTGAGTAGAAATACTCCGCAATCATATCCGTTCTTCTGCTGAAGACACGAGGATTCGATTACACGGACTTCATCTCTTAGCAATAATCCTTTCTTATTCTAAAAGTTTGTATTCTGCAATAAATATTTATGATGTAAAATAAAACAGATATAAGATTTGTAACAAAGATTATTCCTAACTGTAAGTTTGCCCAAGTTCTTGGCTAAACCTTCAGCTTCGGTTTTGTTGAAACTAGAAGCAGAATCAAAATGATAGAACTTCTCTCCACTCTTACAGTAAACTAAAATCTCAACACTGATCCATGTTGAAACTAAATTTCAAAAAACCTAACGCACCAAAGACGATTAATTTTGAATTATAATCACTTTAAAAGGGACTGTTAAGATTTTCCTAGTAGGCTCCAATGACTCCCACCTGCAACCTCAGGATTATTTAAACTGTTCACAGGAAAGAGAACAAGATCTTTAGTTGAAAACCCCAGAGGTTCAAGAATCCCGGGAACTTCTGTTTTGTCAACTAATTTTATAATCTGACCAACTTCCGCCCCAACTAGAAGAATCTCCGGGTTGGTTTTATACTTCTCCTCCTGCAAGTACTCCAGATAGAACCCGATTAACTGGTCGTTGATCCATCCTTTCGACAACAACAACTCCAGATCAGACTAGAAATTTCTTCGTTTTTTAATGCGATACTTCAAGATAAAGCACATTGGAAAATATAAGACGTCCAGGAAACATTTGAACCGACGGTACGTGCCGATGGCTGAGATGTTGGGTATATAATTCTGGACAATTTGAGGTTAGGGGTCCGTCCTAGTGAACGATTTTCGGACTCCCCTCCCCTCCCTCCTATCAATTTTTTACATGACTTATTATTTTTTTATTATTATTTTAGGTGAGGTGGGGAAGACTTCACTGCAGATTTTATCAATTTTGTACATGACTTCATTAATTTTAGTATTTATTTGTATTTATTTAGGGTTACGTTAGGTTAAGACACTTTCTGGGCCGAGCGCTGCGGCTAGGACAGGCTAGGGGGCCGAGCGCTATGGCCACATGGTCAATTATATCCATTTATTTATTATTATTTAGGGTTAGGTTAGGTTAAGACAATTTCTGGGACGAGCGCTGCGGCTAGGACAGGCTATTATTTATTTAGGGTTACGTTAGGTTAAGACACTTTTTGGGCCGAGCGCTGCAGCTAGGACAGGCTAGGGGGCCGAGAGCTGCGGCCAGTACTTACTTTATGTCAATTATATCCATGTCTAACAAAAGATCCATGAACAAAATTGATAGGAGGGGGGGAGAGGGTCCAAAAATCGTTCTCTAGGAATATACCGAAGTAAGACATTGGTTTTCTGAAGACTAAATGTGCAAGAGTTAAAATTTGAATTAACTAATTCTAGTCTTTATAAATAAATGATTAGATGGTTAATGATCAGCAAAATATTCTGATTAAACGCTTAAAAAAAATTTCCTGTCGGATTAGTGCGTCTCCATAACTAAGCAATATGCTGCTCATATTTTTTACTCTGAAGGGACAACATTGATATACAACGTTAAAAAATTGTTCACGCACAGTTAAACTTGATAAACTTCACTGTAAATTGGTGATCGTTTACTTACACGTTATTCACTTTTAAATAATCAAAACAAAACAAAAACTAGTTAATTCATAACAGCCAAGTCATAACTATACAAATCCAAATAAACAAAGTTTAAAAACCCTTTCGTAAATATTATTCTTTAAAACTAGATAAGATACCGGTTTTTTCTTGTTTCAGAGTACACGTGAACTCCCCCCCCCCCCCCAACTGCTGCTGCTATGGCGGGAATCGATATATTTACATCTAAGGTGGGTTTCATCAAAATCGACTTACTAGTTCAAACTAATATAATTTCGACCTCTTAGTGATAAACTAATTCTTCATAAGATACAAATCATTGATTATAAATCACAGAAGAAACGCCCAGACGAAAAAAAAGGTGTGGTCGGAAGATATGATAAGCTGTGACGTTATTTATGGTGGGGACGAAAAAATTGTGTGGTTTATATTCCCTCACTCGTCATAATCAATAAATTCATTTAATACAGTCTATACATAGATATAAAAACAAGACCAAAAACCATGCTATGACACTATTCCATAGTGTCACCTATCATCATGTTCAGCATATCTATGTTTCTTCTCAACATATGGTTTTATTTCAACATCTCGTCGTTTCTTTCTTTCATCCGGAGCATCTCCGACCCGCCTCCGAACTTCATCTTTCCTCCGCCTAGCCTCCAATAATCTCTCGTTTTCAAGTTTACTCGCATCTGGAACTCTCATTGCACTCCCTGAAATAAAAAATATGATAAAAGAATTTTTCCAGTATCCAGACTCCAGAGCTTAAGATTTATGGGAAGCGTGGCGAAATAAAATTAAGAGACGTAAAGAGAAACCTCTGCTGGCAAAGATATTGAATAATGATAAACAATACATGCCAAAATTTTAGGTCGAACAAAATAAAATAGGTGACTAAGGAAAAGAACGTCCCAAGAATCACTCATTATTTACCCCCCGCCCCCTAGCTACGTTCATCCCAAATGATGTGCACATGAATCTGACCTAAAGCTCCTTGAAGAAGTCTACGTGCAGTGGCAGTGCAGGAGACAGGACGTGGTTTGTATGGGAGCAATTCCTCCAGAACACTCCGTGCTTTACTCTTGGATTGCGGAGTCGCCATATTCAGGGGTCGGGTTAGAATAGTAGGATGTCGAACGGATAAAGCTTCAGCGGCGACCTCAGAGCTACTGAACACACCCAGAGCATGTGTATCATCAACCCATTTTATGTCCCATCTAAAAGTTAAATTTTAATAAAAATATTTTACAAGATTCCTTTTTAACTGACCTTGATGTGAAAGCCTCGAACGCATTAACCAAATCCGTAGTTTTGTACTCTGAAGGGAAATCATAAAGCTCTATTACGTGTCCAAACTGATCGATATTGATGGTTGAGTCACTAGTTTGAAAGGTTAAATAGTCCACCTCAGGACCCTCAATTTGAACTCCTCCTACAGCAACTGTAATTTCTGAAACAACCTGAATAAAAATAAGAATTAAAAAAATACGTCTAGTTTCTAAATTATGATTATAGATTCATAGGGGGGAGAGGGATTGTCATACCTGTTCCGTAACATCAAGAACGTCAGTATTTCCTTTATAATCTTTAACAGAAGGAATTTGAGCAAGGACGGGTACAGCAGGATGGGTCGGAGAAGATTTAATGACTGAGAGGACGGCAGAACCTGGAGAGCTGGTATAGTTTCTAGCTCTAGGAGGTACATACACAGCTATGGCAGGACGTTTAGATCTACAACCTTTCTTTTCACTTAAACTTTCTCCTTTATCTTCCTTCGGACTGCCATTATTCATCTCCGTTGAATTTGTTACATCTGACTGACTTTGTCCTTCTTCTGGTTCTTTAGGAATTGGTTTCTTCGTATCTTCTGGGTCAAGTTCGTTACCAGCCTTTATCGGCATACCACTGGTATCCTTATTAAATACTTTAAGTTCAGGTTCAAGATCAGTTTCAGGTTTAGGAGCATCAGTTTCAGGTTTAAGGGCAGCTTCAGGTTCAAGAGAATTTTCAAGTTTAGGAGCAATTTCAGGTTTAAGCGCGATTTCAGGTTCGGGTTCAGAAGTAATTGCAGTAGATGAAAAAAGATTTTTTTCAGAGTTTAGAGTAAGATCAGATTCCACTTCAGAAACTTTATTTTTTTCTTGTAATAACTTCACAACGGGTTCGTTTTCAGATACAAGCTGGCTATTATCAGTGGATTCATCGTCAGGGGGTTTAACATTTGCATTTAGTTCAGTAAATGGATCAAGATTATTTTTCTGCGTTTCTATAGTATTTGAATCTGCTGGAGTTTGTTTTAGTTCTATGATATCATTTTGATATTCTCGAGAAACAGGAACGAACTCCTTAAAAAAAATCTATTTTTAAATCTATTATGTATTTTTTATACTCCCGTCCCGGTTTTTGTCTTAGAACCCAACAAAATATAACTTTAAAGACCTACTTGAGCCTGTTTAAGAGTATAATCTATAAGATGTTGCTGGAAGCACACGACTGTTCTCCGATCCAAACCTTCTCCGACGGAGAAGGTTGTGAACTGAGGAAACCCTGTCTCTACCACCTGAACAACACAAATTATAATAATACAAGATTACCCACAAAGGATGAAACTGTAGACACGACAGTACGGAATTTATACTTTAGTTTATATTCACGATTTCCTGGAACTGTAAACTTGCTTCCTTCTTTGCAAAAACATTAAATAAACCGTGAATGATTATATGTAAGGCAGAAGGTTTAATTTTATTCCATTGAATCGTCTTATTAAACGAGTTTCATGTCGTCTTTACAGTCTCACCCTGTTCATTATTCAAATATAATACATGATCATTATCTAATAATTCCTACCTTATGAATGAGAAATCTATGATAGTTATTAACTGGTGGAAACACAAGAACTCGGGCTATACTACTAGAACGTACTCTACAATAAAATTGATTATAATTAGTCAAAAAAATAACACTAAATATTTGGGAAACAATTATATATTATCATATTATATCAAGAAACTAGGGAGGTGTCCAAAAGCTCCTTGACCTAGTGGGGGTATGCCATCAAGGTGAAGGCTTTTCAGGCGACATAGTTTAAACCTAACGTCGGACACACGACCAAATTTGAGCCATGTCACCGGTCTGATTCCTTTTGTCAGCTAGTTGCCAAACAAATGTATTACACATATAATTAAGTGCTGACAAAGAGAATAACCTCTCGGTTAAGTGTTGTTTTCGCTATTGTAGGTTATGTTAGGTTATACAATATATAAGGTTAAAAAAAAAACTTCCTGAAATCTTAACCATGAGTTGTAATATTTTCTATAAAACTATTTCCTTTCCCCTTTTTGCCCCCTCCTTCAAAATATTTTTTCCTTTAAAATGTACGGAAAATTTCTTAGGATTTGTGATCACTGAATTAAAGCTTCTTGGTAATGTAGTGGTTCTGGGGGACATCCCATGAATTCTTGGAAAATGAGAATAAAAAAAGGTGACAAGGTTGCCATTTTAAATCCAAATTTTTCTTTTATCTTGAACATTCTTGCTCAATGCTAAAAGGTGGGGGGAGGAGATGATTTATGAAAATATGTACACGTGTTGACCCCCGATTCCCCGGATAAGATATTAAATTAAAGCCTAAAACTTTCCAATTCTGAGTATCAAAAAAACCTGCCTGAAGTTTTCAATATCCCCCGTTATATTATCCACAAACAAAGCGTCCTTTAAACTTATATTCTGCCCCTCAAAGTTCATCTTATTCTACATCTGAAATAAGGAATTCCATGTTTTCTTCAACAACTAAATATATTTATAAATAACATCCTTGGGATCCTCCACCACCTGAAGTTCAAGTTTAACCGGACACTTGAGCCAGAGTGAGAGCATCTCCTCTGTGTATCCGAGAAGGAAATAGATCTTCCTGGTCTGTATTTTCTTGAGTATAAGTCCGGAGACACGAACTGTATTATGCTGACGCTTCACGATTATTTCACTCAGGAACATTTCACTCCAGGTTCCCTGAACATATAAACTTATTTTTTTGCCGTTTTTATTTTCAAGTAAACTCAAAAGATTTTAAAGTTTAACAAAATGTATACTGTAGTTAAAAATATAGATATATTTGTAACAGGTTTGTAAGAAATAAATTACCTTTAAAAATTTTCTAATAAATAAATCTTCCATAAAAAGTTTATGAGAGAGGGGCGCTGCTCCAATCTGACGAGATTTAGCCAGTCCGTAGGTATCCTCCAGCTGACCAGTGTTAAAGGAATTAAATGATTTCTCTGTTCCGATCTTGTCAGGGTTTAGCGCCATCTCGTAGGTCAATGGTCTAGATCTGTCCAGGGTAACCTAAAGATGCTTATTAGAATGCAATACCAAACAATGCAATGAAAAAGGCATTCTCTTAAAAAAAAACCGAAATGTGTATGTACAATAAAATTTTTTTTTTTTCAAAATCGGATTTTATTTTTGGATAATTCCTGATTTTTTTTTTTACCATCAAATATTCTAAATTATCTACATTGAGATGAAATAAAGCGGGAAAAAATAATTCGATAAATGTGACAATAGAAATTAATTGCTGGAGTGGAGGCTAAAAAAAGTTATCAGAGAAAAAGTAAAAAATTAAGAGACAACCTCGAGTGCTTGGGTTAATCTGTACCGCTCTGGAGATGTACAGAAATTACTGTACATCGAAAATTGATTCGTGCATACTACAAATTTAATCAGTTTGGAATTAAAAATTTAATATTTATAACAAATATTCTAACCCTGTATCTTCCAGCTCTAACTTTTGACAAGGTTCTGGAGCAGTGAAAGCTGCGGGTCAGCACTAAGCTTGGCGTGCACAGGTTACGCAACATTATTCTGGAAATTAACAAAAACTTAAAAAAGTACTGTAGAAGAGAACAACATCCTGAACTTTCGAAATTTCTACAGAAACAACAACAAAGGTTATATCTAAAATATCGTTCTAAGGTTCAATCTTACTTCTTGTATAAAAGGAGATCTGTTAAAAAAGGTAAGGGATCGTGAAAATTCTGCAACAAATCCAACTTCAAAAATGCTTTATACGAACAATCCGTTTGGATTGTATTTCCGCAGAAAAATGTGCTAGGTTTTGTTTAGTTTTTACTTTAAGAGATCAGGTTGAGAAGTCCATATCAAGATATAGTTATTGGTTAAGTCAGGTTAAGAGTTTGACAACAAATATTCGAAAAGGTCTAAACATATTTCTGCATAAAGGTTTCACTGACATTTCCATTTTGTGCATCTAAAACAGGAACTATATGGATTTCTCCAACGCTGTTTTAGGATACTTTGCAATTATCAGATTTCAAACTCATCTTGTTCCATAGGTTTCTTAACCCAGTCTCCAAGCAGTGCCTTCTTAAATGCCTAAAAACAAAAATGATACAGAAATAATTGAGGACATGGCAAAAATAATTTGAAAGAAACAAATAAATTATCTTAAAATAAAACTATCAATACTGTCTCAGCGTGGTGTCCCTCGACAGCTGTAGACAAAGATGTACTAGAACGGGTGCAACGTAGAGTTATAAATATGATATCTGGACTGTTGGGTAGAAATTATGAAGATAAACTTAAAGAACTGAGACTTGAATCCCTGGAGAACAGAAGAATCTATATCGACATACTACAAACATTTAAGATTATTCGTGGTTTTGATGATGTAGAGAGTAGTAATACATGGTTTAATATTGTGGGATCAGGTGAACTAACTCGTCTTACTGCAGATCCACTAAATCTAATGTCCTCACGATCTAGACTGGAATTGATAGCCAATTGTTTTAGTCCAAGAGTAGTGAATTTATGTAACAGTTTGCCGGGAAAAGTAAAAACGCTAGAAATCCTAAAATGTTTAAAAAACATTTACCAACGATATGCTGGAGACAGTGAGTCTAGAGAATCTAAGCAGATACAGGGTGGCCAAAACTTTTTTGAACCCATCCGTACAAAAATCCGTATATTTTCAGAAGAAATCCGTACAATCCGTACAATTTTCGAAAAACAATCCGTACAATCCGTACAATTTTTTTTTTTAAATCCGTACAATCCGTACATTTTTTTAAACCAATCCGTACATTTTTTTAAAGATCCGTACATTTTTTTTAAAAATCTGTACAATCAGCACAATNCCTGGAGAAAAGGGAATATTTGCACAATCTTGACGCTTTTCCCCCCTCCAACAATTTCCCCTTGGTGGCGTCAATAATCTCAGCTCGTTCATCGCCTAGAAATAAGAATTAAAAACATTGATTTTGTACAAGCACCCGGCAACCAAGCAATATTATTTCCGAACCAATTTAAGGGTTTACTTTTTTATAATTGTAAATGTAAATTGCACCGTGCCTGACGTAACTGTTTTTACACACAGGTTTTTTTTTGGTAAACAAAGCGTACTGCAAAGTTCAAAGTATACTCATTTGTATCGTAAACTTATCAGTAATATCGGAACCCATTTGAGTGTAGGAGTTATTCCATCACCCGAGCGTCAATGGTATGTAAACCTTTATGTAAACCTTTTAGATTTGTTTATTTTCGTATTTATTATATACTCGATTAAAAATTGTATATTTGTATTTCTAAAAATATGTATTTTTCAGTTTAAAAATTGTCCTGAAGAAATAAATACTACTATTCTTCAGCCATTCTTTAACTACGTGACTGTGAACCTGAAGAAACCTCTTCTTGATTTTGAGATTTGCCGATATTTACTCTACAAAGGCAACAAGACTTCCAAGCAACCAGGATTCAAGGCTTCAATCAACCAAGGATACAGGATTCCATGCAACAAGACTTCAAGTAATCAAGCAACCAGACTTCCGAGCAACAAGGCTTCCAAACAATGAAGCAACTAGGCTTCTAAGCAACCAAACAACATACAAATAAAGAGCAATCACTCAATCAAAAAAGAATCAATCACACAAATCGTGAAATCTATTTTCCTACCGTGAGTCCAGTTGATGCTATGGTTTGGAGACTTCCCTGGCTGCCTAGCTTCTGGTGAGGAGAGATGGTTTAGTTTAGGAGTATTGAGACGGTAGGGTTGAGGGAGTCCGGATACAGTCTCCTAGATTTAGATTAGTTAACATACAACATTTATATTTCATTATTTTAGTAATAAAAACTAGGATCAAATATACAAACATAATATTTTTTATTTAAATCTTTCAAGGCATTTTGTATCAAGAATTAACCTTTATCCTGCCAGTAACTGCTCTAAGCATATGAGTTGAATGGAAGAGTGAACCAAGGATGATTGAATAAAAATATATTGGCTCCAGGTAGTAGGAGAGTAGGGCGCCCTGCACACCCAGAACATTCCATCTTAACATTAGAACTTAATTAGATCAAACAACTTCTGAACTAATTTAAGCATACTTATTTTCTCTCTTGATGGAAGGGGAAAGGAAAACGATTTTTCAGAAGAATATAATTATTTAATCTTATCTTCACATTAGGCCTGGATTTATCTTACAGTCGTCGTATTAGATATCAATACACTGAAGACGACTTTTCATTTCAATTTTAATCTCTACCAAGCTTTCAAACAGTTTGAATACACATAAAGTGCAAACAAAAAGAAGCTGCCACTTATTAGATTCTTTTAATGTTTTCCTGTAAACATGTAATTTGTAACAAAATTTGTTAGAAATAAAAAAATAAATAGAAAAGTCGTCTTCTTTTAACTGATATAAATAAATTGATATAAACGCCTGAACTTAAGCATATGAGTTTTAAAAACTTATAATTTAAAAAAATTGTATTTAATTGTGAGAGAAGGGGACAGGAGAAACATTTTTAGGGAGAATACTTAATTCAAATGTTGTTTTTATAAAGATCTTTGATCAAACCACTAATGTGAGGTTACATTCAATCACTCTAAAAAGAAGGGGAAGGAGAACAAAATCGAATTAGAAAACTTGCTTCAAAGCTTGAGTTGGACCCTGCATTATAGAATACCTGCAAACTTTATCGCTACAGGACATAGTTAGTAGCCTAGACCCGTGCATGATTCCGTCCCAGGTCTGAATACCGTCACTGGACGTAACCGGAATGGTTCCTTCTCCGGACTCGATCTTAGTACGGAGCTGACCTCGAGACCGTCGGTTCACATGACGGTCAGAGTCGTCATTTGTGGAGGAACCACCTTAAAAAAAAGTTCAAATTTAAAGCGTCATGAATTTAGCTTAAAGGCTTGTTAGGGTTACATACATTCCAAGAATGCATGTCATATAGAATGGGAAAAGGGGGTAAAATGAGAAGGGTAAAAAGTGATTAATCACACTATTATTATTATTATTAAAGGACAACCCATCATTCAATGAAATAGGGGTCAGATTTATTATGTATTTTCAGTTAGTTTACCTTTATGATCTTCATGTGGGGAGAATATTCTGGCATCACCACAAGGAGCTGTGTTAATATAAAGATGGAACCTTACATCAGGTTTCAATCTGTATCCGCCCTTACTCCCTTTCTCTAAGATACAATCTACCGGGATACTTCCTTCAGCATAGATTAACTCCAGCTGACTGTAAAGATATCTCATGAGGCATCTCCGGGACAAGATCTCTGCGTGACAATCGTTTAGTCCGTTTCCAGACGCGCTCATATACTCGCCGTTGATACACTTTGTACCTAAAGGATATCATGTGACGTGAATATTTCGAATTTCGGGGATTTTATTATTTCACCCAAAATACAGGAAAATTTTCTGTGACCCCATTCACAACATAAGTTNCCCCACCACCCCTGTAATATTTGTTGTTAAATGTGACCTGTTGTAACACTGACAACAGTAAGCTCTGACATATTTTCTCCTTTGCTCTGAACTATTCCAGCAATAACCTTCCTTCTTGAAGCGACCATATTCCCAATCGTCAGTCCTTCAAACTTCTCAAGAACTAGTTTTGCAACTTTATCCGCCACCTCCTGATCCATACTAAACTTAGAGAGAGGGATACCCGTCCCAACTACAACCTTCTCCGTCCCGGAGGAAGCGGAAGCACTGGACAGAGACAGAACGAAGTTTACTCCGTACAGTTTAGACAGTGCAGCTCTAGCACAGGCTTGCTTAGAGAACTTCTTACTTGACCCTGTTCCTTCAAACTTGATATTATCCACGGTTACTGTTGTGACAAACCTCTTAGTGGCAGCTGTAGCTCCGGTTTCAGAGCACTCATACGTCAATCCAGGTTTTAGTTCATTCAGGCTCATCACGGGATTCTTAAACTCACTGATTACCGGAGAAGCCGGAGCTGGACTGATTTCCGGATTTTTTTTTTCCTTCCCAACTACAGGTTGAAGAGGAGGTTTAGCTTCGCCTGCAAATGTTGGACCGGTCTCCATGGCGGAGTCTTCTGTAAAGTCAATTCCGTTCTCAATCAGGGGAGCTTTACCCATCGCAACCTAATAATACAAAATGTTTTAATTTGATTCATTATCATTTTGTGCAAACTAGTAATAAAATAGTATAAAAAAATGTTAAAATGTTTAACATTTTTTTTAGGTATGAAAAGATATTTGAACTAAAATAAAATTTTTTTTTGATCAATGACCTGGATCCGGATCCGGATCCGAATCCGGATCCATTTTTTGAAAAGCGGATCCAGGTCCGGATCCGCATCAAAATTTAATGGATCCTAAGCACTGTGGGTAAGTAAGCATAATTTCAAACGACCCTCCATGCAAGGATTGCAATGCCTTATTCACAACAGTACCCTTGAAACGGAAACCTTTATCTGATCAATAATGTTGAAGATATTGTCGTTTTTTAGATTTTGTACTAAATTCTGATCATTTACTTAGAAGAAATGCGCAAGTCCCTTTTGTCGAGTAACTACAAATAAAAATAATTAGTTTTCTTAAATTATAAACATTGATATCTAGTTCATACTTGATCAGACAAAGCTTTCAAGGGTACCGTTATGAATCGGACATGGTCATCTTTGCTTGGAGGGTCACTTATAATTATGCTTTCAGTCCCCTACAGCTGTCTACATATATCATACAAAAGCCAGAAACAATTTTGTAAGGCCTATATGCACTATAAACACTGTTTACAATAAGTAAATATATATAAAACCTGAGCTTCTAGAGGATTTCTGAACTGAACGATGGATTTTAAAGCATTCTCCGCTGCAGCCTGCTTGGCCTGTTTTTTGGTTCTAAAATCAGAGTTAAGTTCCCATCTGACTAATTTTTAAATTCAAAATCTCAAATCGTCAAAAACTGGCCCGACCAAAAAAATGTTCTTGATTTAATAGCGTGTTTAAGATAAGTATAAAAATTAATTTTCATTGTTTTATTTTAAAAAGTTGAGCAAGGTACCTGCTTAGACATATCTTGCACAAAATGGGATTCAAAATTTCACGGAAATTCTGAATCCAACTTTGAAACAATCACGTCATGAACCCAAAACATAAAGTATTTATTACAGAAATATAGAAATCTATATTTCTTAAATGAACACTTTATAATGAAGAGAATAAAAAAGAAATCAACAACAATGATCATACATTTTAAAAAAATTGAAGGCTAAAATGGTAAAATAACAATTTGTTCATAATTTAACAGAAAAATTCTGAAAGGGCTGTAAGATCGTACGACGACATTAAATTGGAATTTCTGTCTTAAATATATTCTTTAAAGTTATAATTAATAATTGGACAGTAAGAGAAACGTAAGTTTACAGCTGCAGGGAACCTTAAATATAAGAAAACAAAATAAATTCCGTTCAGTCATCTCTTAAGTCTCATCCTTTGTGTGTAACCCTGTATAAGATTTATGTTTTAAAACTTTTTCAAAAGATGTAAAATTTGTCTGTTTACCAACTCACCTTCCTTCTCCAGTGAAATCCTTGCTATTCACGCAAACTTTCATTATAAACTTAGGATCATGTACAGGTCCTAAAACACGTGTTCTGTGTTTCAGAGTTTGTAAGATCTATGGATCTTTTAATTCTTGATGTTCAGGTTGAATCCGAAAACCCTGTTCTGAAGAAGCACATGAAGATCTATTCGAATCTCTCTCGCTGTTCTCCACATATATATAATTGTATTTTAAACATTTTATGTCCTCAAGCCTAAAAAGCTTTTTTATAAGGCTAAAGATGTAAATTAGGAAATTCTTTCATTGAAAAATCATTGAATGGTCTTTATATTTCAGAACACAATGGGCTAGGTTATCGCTCCAGGTTGTGCATTATTATGTTTATAACACAGCTTATCTAAATGTAAACGGTCTTTAAATCATTTCTAGTTCTACATTCTTTAAGCTCACGGATGTTACACGACCTGTCCAGAACAATGAACTAATTAATTAACAGATGAAAATACGTTCTTAAAGGCTTAGAACTGTGAAGTTAATTATTGATCCCATTTCTTAGATTAAGTCCTATCTGGACGAGGATGATCTCAACGATCTAACAAGAATCCAACGGAGCACATTAACACACAAGCTGCGGTTTACCTCACCGCAGACGGAAGAACGATAAACCTGTCGAGCTGAGCTAATCTACCGGCAGAGCATCCCCCTGCTGGGCATCCTCCTCACCTTCACCTCCTCCTACTTGGGGAAGTACCGTTGGAAACATCTCCTCTGTTTCTATAATCAGGGACTGCTGCTACTGAGTAGATAAATGTGAAGAATAAATACGAAGCTACTCTCAAGGTCTAATGTCTTACTTAATCTTATTTAGATCCTATCGAACCACACTCGAGTACGTGGACAGCTATTCTTTTTTCCATGATGATTATACGAGTACTAACTTAACCCGAGCTCCTGACGGGATATATAAAGGTACATAATAAAGTTTCGTGTTTTCAGTGTAAATAATTAACGACGAAATGTGAATATATCCTTTATCACATGACAAGCCTTCATATAAACTCATCTTGTTATTTCTAGTTGTGTAACAAGAGACAACTGGGAAAGATCATCCAACTCTAATCTAGAGCTATTAATTTCTCCGGCCTAATCAACTTTGTAAGTGTTACTTTAATTCATGTATATTGTTATAACTTACTCAAATTTAGCACACCTGTAGCAAACTTTGATGTAAACTTGGCTAATTTTATTCATTGAGCTTAATAATAATAATTTTAATAATAGTTTAACATTTATCTAACCCGTGACTGATTAATTGTTTTTCAGTTCCCAGGTCTGAGCTCTGTATCGCTACCAGAAATAAATAATATAAAAAGACTCATGTGTGTGTATTAACGAGGTGCGCAATTGAGAAATGATGTTGCCCCACCATGTTAATAACTAAATAATACCTGTGGATCTAGGTATCGTATTCTGGGAATATGCTAATTTTTTAAAAACTGACACAGAGTTTAAATTTTTTTTTTCGATTTTGAGGGCCTTTAGTTTTTTTAGACCCCCCCCCCCCCCACCCCCAAAATGATCTTTCCAAAATAAAACGGAAAAGGCTTGATCGCTAAATTTTCACTTTTTAATAAGTTTCTTTGGTGAAAAATCAAGAAAGAAGATAAACAGTTTGCATGATCAAGATCTTTTTTAATCTAGTATCTAGAAATCGTTCATAATGGCACATTTCTTTTAGTTTACAACTAAACAATGGAATATAAGCAGATAAAAAACGAATCATAAAAATCTAAAATACTAAACTAACCAATCTGATCCACTAGAACATATTCTAGTCCAGGTTTATATTCGTTCAAGGCAACGCAAGCATTCTTAGGCTGAACTGGTCCAGTCTTGGTCTTCTTTGCTCCGGAGGAAAATAGTTCTGGAAACATCGCTTTCCTTTTCTCTCCGGGGTTACATTTCTCCGTAGTTCCGTTCTTTCCTGAACTTGTCTTAACTTCCTCTTTGAATTTTCCTTGCAGGGTGAGCATCTCGGATTTATAATCCTTAAAAACACAATTTTATTGTTTTATAATTCCAACATTTATCAGATTTATCAAATTAACATGGAAAATATAATATACAATGGGACCCGTGTTGATTTATCAAGCAAATAGTTCACCAGTTTCTTTAAAAATAACTTATTAAGTTAAATGGTTCTTTGTACACTGTACAATCGATGTGTTTCATGTTCATTGGACTAATCAAAATTATTACTGAAGTTTAACAGTGATATGGGTCTCACTTTAGGTTTAAAGTTTTACAACAAAAAAGTTCTATAAAAGAAGATTCATTTCAAAGAATTAAAGATTTTTATAGAAAAGATTAATGTACCAACTATTTTAATCGATTTTACCTTGGCAATTCCATTTCCTTTCGGACTGACAGTTTTCAGTACAACAGTTTGTGGACTAGCAGGTTCAGTTTTGACTTCTGGAACAACTACAGCTGTCACAAATCCATCATCAACAGCTGTTATCACGTCACTGACAGCTGCAATAAAGGAGGGAGGCTCCATTATTTCTGTAAATACATCGTTAAAAATGAATTTTCTCCTTTTAGGCATTTTTTATTGAAAAGCGCATCTTCCTGATCAAGGCTAACACAAATATTAGTGTAAAAAGAAATATCATTGAAATCAAATAATTTTGCTTTTTTGGGAAAACAAGAAATTGGCTCGAATTGATTCTTAAGCTTAAATCAACATAAAAAAGTTAGAAAGTCTAGCTCATCTGTTGAAACTGTACAATTAAATAACTGATAAGATAAAAAAAATTAAGTACCATATAAACACAAAAACTTCTTAAGTAATAAAATTTTGAAAATAAAAATTTATGTTAAGGTTATAAAAGCCTTGCCCCTGTTTCCAAGAAATTCAAAACTGAACTAAAATTATTTTCAACAATTTAGTACAAATTAAAAAATTATGTTCACTTATTTTCTCGACTTATCTGCATCCTGATCAGAAGATTGGATAAGGATCCCAATTTAAGAACTATATTTAAATATTAAATGCTCGATTATCTAGAAGATCTTTTTTATTAAAAAAAAATTCACAATTTTGTTCCTCTTCAACTTCTTGACAAAAATAATTACAAGATGGGTAGAGTGGGGGAAATTATTTTGAAAAATATATTTCTGTTTGGCCAGAACATCCTAATAGCGGGTTTATAAAAGAATTATAAGAAAATTATTAAAATAATTTATTAAAATAATTTTCATGTTGCACTCCTAACATTAGTAAACTGATACTAGTTCCAGGTCTGAATTTTCGTAAAGAATGTTATAAAACTTAGAAAATAAACTAATAAACCCAATTATTTTAAATTATTCTATTTTCAAAACATAAATGTCCAATTTTGGATACAAATTTTTATGATTGATGATTATTATGGCAATTTTGATGTTAAATAGATAGAAGTTTTAGGGGTACCGCTGTTAATCATGCATTGGCATCTTTGTATTAATGAGTGACTTGAAATTAAGCTCAAACGGTACTTTAAAATAATCCGTCCCTCGATTCAAAGTATTTCTGGTATGTTAGGTTAGTTAGTGATGTTGGTTAGTCTAGAGAACTTGGGTGAAAGTTATAACACCTGAAACAAATAGAAAGTGTCTTAACCTAACCTAACCCTAAATAATCCTAAATAAATACTGATTTGGTTATGTACAAAATTGATAGGAGGGGGGGCCCCGGGGGGGGGTCCAAAAATCCTTCACTAGGACAGACCCCTAATTTGTCATAAAAAGTTCCAGATTTATTAATTGCCTTCTGAATAATATTGCTCTTCGATCAATATGATTTGTTAAAATTATGGTGACATGGACGGTTTTCAGAAAATTATATAGATTTATACGAAACAACAGAAACCACTACAAATCACACTAATTAAATAAAATCTTTAACAATCATTACACTTTGCATGCAATATCTTAGCTTCAATTAAGGTTATATACCATAAGGTACAAACGCCACGGGATGCCTAGAAATTTTGTTCTTTAAATTTAAGTATTTGTTGATAGATTGATTATCGTTTATTTCTTTATGCCTTATTACTGGCATCTTAAATATTGAAGTATTTGTTTGATTTTTCTTTCACCCGAAATTTTATTCTCTGCTTCTGTACAAAATGCCGCACTCTTCTCTTACAGAAAATCTAAGTGAATATAAAATATAATGTCGTATTCCATAATGTCTCTTTAAAAATTTGGTAAAATTAAGTTAAACCTACCCAATACCCATGTTAAAATTTCCATAAATCTTCTTGGAACCGCCTGAATTGCTAGCCATCCTAAATCTCCTGAAATCCTCTTTGTCCTTAATCTCCTGAATTTTCCGTGTCTTGAAATCTACTCTCTATGTTGAAAGATCTCCTGGATTTCTCTTTATCTTGTTATATCCTGAACTCCTCTCATGTTTTAAAATCTCCTGAACTCCTTTCTATCTTAAAATCTCTTGAACTCCTCTCTTTCTTGAAATCTTCTGAACAATCCTCTCTCTTGAACTCTTCTCTATTCTGAAATCTACTGAACTCCTCTCTATCTTGATATCTCCTGAACTCCTCTCTATCTAATTATCTCATGTACTCCTCTCTAGCCTGAAATCTCCTGAACTCCTCTTTATCTTGTTATCTCCTAAACTTTTCTCTTTCTTGTTATCTCCTGAACTCCTCTCTATCTTATTATCTCATGAACTCCTCTCTATCCTGAAATCTCCTGAACTCCTATGTTATCTCCTGAACTCCTCTCTATCTTGTTATCTCCTGAACTCCTCTCTATCCTGAAATCTCCTGAACTCCTCTTTATCTTGTTATCTCCTAAACTTTTCTCTTTCTTGTTATCTCCTGAACTCCTCTCTATCTTATTATCTCATGGACTCCTCTCTATCCTGAAATCTCCTGAACTCCTATGCTATCTCCTAAGCTTCTCTATATCCTGAAATCTCCTGAACTCCTCTCTATCTTGTTATCTCCCAAGCTTCCTTGAATCCTGAAATCTCCTGAACTCCTCTCTATCTTGTTATTTCCTTAACTTCTCTCTATCCTGAAATCTCCTAAACTTCTCTCTATTTTGTTATCTCTTAAACTTATCTCTATCCTGAAATCTCCTAAACTACTCTCTATCTTGTTATCTCTTAAACTTCTCTGTATCCTGAAATCTCCTAAACTCCTCTCTATTCTAAAATCTCCTGGACTCCTCTCTATATCTTGATATCTCCTGAACTCCTCTGTATCCTGAAATCTCCTGAACTTCTCTCTATCTTGAAATTTTCTCAACTACTCTCTTTCTTGTTATCTCCTGAACTCCTCACTATCTTGTTATCTCATAAACCCCTCTCTAACCTGAAATCTCCTAAACTCCTCTCTATCTTGAAATCTCTTAAACTCCTCTTTATCCTGAAATTTCCTGAACTCCTCTCTATCTTGAAATCTCCTGAACTCCTCTCTATCTTGAAATCTCCTAAACTCCTCTCTATCTTGAAATCTCCTGCACTCCTTTCTATCTTGAAATCTCCTGAACTCCTCTCTATCTTGAAATCTCCTGAACTCCTCTCTATCTTGAAAACTCCTGAACTCCTCTCTATCTTGAAATCTCCTGAACTCCTCTCAATCTTGAAATCTCCTGAACTCCTCTGTACCCTGAAATCTCCTGAACTCCTCTCTATCTTTTTATCTCCTGAACTTCTCTGTATTGAAGCCACCTGCACTCCGCTGTATCTTAAAATCTCCTACACTCCTCTGTATCTTAAAAACTCCTGCATTCCTCTCTATCTTGAAAACTCCTGAACTCCTCTCTATCTTGAAAACTAATGAACTCCTCTCTATCTTGAAAACTCCAGAACTCCTCTCTATCTTGAAAACTCCTGAATTCCTCTTTATCTTGAAAACTCCTGAACTCCTCTCTATCTGCAAAACTCCAGAACTCCTCTCTATCTTGAAAACTCCTGAACTCCTCTTTATCTTGAAAATTCCTGAACTCCTCTCTATCTCGACAACTTCAGAACTCCTCTCTTTTTTATAATCTTGAGCTGAACTCCTCTCTATCTTGAAAACTCCTGAACTCATTTTTATCTTGAAAACTCCTGAACTTCTCTCTATCTTGAAAACTCCTGAACTCCTGTCTATCTTGAAAACTCCTGAACTCCTCTCTATCTAGAAAACTCCAGAACTCCTCTCTGTTTTAAAATCTTGAGCTGAACTCCTCTCTCTCTGAATTTTTCTCTTACTTGAAAGTTGAAATGTGCAACTTTGATCGGTTGGCGGTATTGCGATCGTAGATGCAAGTCCTAGTCAACTCCCTAAGAAAAAGTTGCACACCGATTCACAGCAGTACCCCTTAAACCTGTGTCTAAGAAACAATTAAGTATGCCTTAAAAATGTTAAAATTTGTTGAAATGGGCAGATTTGTGAGGTATGTCATTTAATATTGCTAAATGCAAGATTCTTCATGTTGGACATAATAATCCCAAATATGAATACTTTATGAACGGAATTAACTGAGATCAAAATAGAGAAGGATATTGGAGTGAAAGTGTCACATGATTTAAAACCCTCTATCCAGTGCCTAGAAGTCGCTAAAACAGCAAACTATATGCTTGCAACATTTCAGAGATCGGCATGTTTTTTGTACATGACCACTTATTTGTCAGCAAATTTATAATTATTTAGGGTTAGGTTAGGTTAATACAATTTCTTGGTCGAGCGCTGCGACTAGGACAGCTTAGGGGGACCGAGCGCAGCGGCTAGGACACGCTATAGGTCGAGCGCCGCATATATATTCCTATATATATTCCTAGTGAACGATTTTTAGACACCCCCCCCCCCTCCTATCAATTTTGTATATGGATCTTAAATGACATGTCGGATTTTCAAAATTTTTAAAAATTTAATGACGATCAAATTTTGATGGAAACAAATATTTGAAATTTTGATTTTTCATAAACCTTCCCTGGGGTCCCTAGATGTCCCACAAAAAATTTGGGCCCGCTCGGTTCAGCCGTTTTGACGTTTATTGGATACAAACAGACAGACAGACAAACAAACAGACAGACAGACAAGCCAAATTTATATATAGATTACCGTGCAACATTTTCCTGAATGGATCAAATAAGGACTGTTCAAGATATAATAAATTTCCGGTTTTAAATTCCCCCTCTTTCTCTTTTTATTCTTGCCTTTTCTGTTTTGTATCCTGATAATTTGTATATATACGCATCGAAAGAAGATCACTGTTTAAAAGTTTAAGGAATAGCTGCTAATTTGGTCTAATCCTTCTTTCTGGGATTCTAAATTAAAGTAAGTTTTAGATATTACAAATCCTGTAGGAATATCTCATGATAAAAAAGACCCAACTTTTTCCAAGATTTTTTCAATAATCAATATAAGCTGTCTTTAGCAGAAAATAGAGTTGTCAAAGTATATATATACAATGACATATATATTTATGGGTGAGTCAATGACCCACATCGTCCAGGGATATTATAGAAGATTTGTCTTGGGAGCAAAAATCTGCAAAACTGCTCTAAATTGTTAAAACTCCGAAATAATGACAAAACGATTTCTTTAAGAACCAAAATTTGTGTGCAATTTTACGAAGAAGGTTGAATTTAATAAACTTTTTAGTGTTTGAATTTGAAATTGCGTGTTTACTGTAAGTATTTCCTCTAGTTATGCTCTAATATGCATGGTATGTAAAAATGTCTCTGCTATCCTTGTACAATGAATTCAATGTCAGGCCGATATACAGGCAGTAAAAGCACTGAAATTGGCATGAGTCCATGCATGCTCCGTTTTACCAGGGATGTAAGCTTTTGCTGGGCAGACAGATTAGGCATTAAAAATGCATTACTCATAATATTAATAAAAGAATTTTGAATGGGTATTAAAAGTTAAGACGTCTCTGTATGTTGTTTATGACCCGGAGAAGTTTAGATGGAATGTGACGGATTCCAGGTTTTCTCTCTTTTATCCCTGAGTCAAATATTGCCGAGTTGATTCTGAGCTGTACTGTGGGACGGAGTAGTAATATAGTGATAATTTTTCTCCAGGTATATCTATATATATATAAGATGTATAATGAAGCAGAGCAAGGATTATCTTATTATATTACAGGTTCAGGATTTATAGTCGATGGTTCAGATTTGAGATTTAGTATAATAGCAGATTAATAAAAACCGTACACTAAACTTTCGTATTAGAAAAATTAACGATCATATCCTTGAGATACAATTTTTGATTCAGTAAGACATCGAGTTAAGTTCAGGTTGAGATCAAAGATTATCGATGATTAGGATCAAGTAAGGTTTAGATTAAAGGATCCAGGTTTAGATTTATTAATCTACAATGTTCAGGTGAACCCGGAGAGTTTTAGATCTACTTCAAATCTTCTGGAGAAACGAGGGGTTAGAGTAAGGTTTAGGGTCGGAGTATAGTGTACAGGGTTTTTAATTATTCTCGGCTGTGATATCTGTGATAATTTTAATACATAATTAAACTGTTCTTATCAATATTAATAATAACACAACATTAGTGACGCATACATTTTATAATATTTAGCAGGTTATAATATTTTTAACAATAATGTTATTAACAGAATTCAAATAGATCAATGATAAATTGAAACCTAAATGATCATGAAAAATAATCAAGAAGTATAAAAATTTATCAAAACATTGAAAACCACGCTCAACAAAACCTACAGCATAAAACTAGGAGAAGAAACTCTGGTTAATCTGAATCGGAAAAGAAATCGACTCCATTTCTCAAAAATAACTCTGGTCTCATAAATCCTTGAAACCTTCAACAGTTCGCCGTTACATCAATCCACTCCAGGTGAGTTCAAACTTAATAAAACCAGTAACCAAAGTCGAAGATTTATGAATGCGTTGTGTTTTTATTTGAAAAGGATTCAACAACTGGTTCAAGCATAAAAGTGCTATGGAGTTTAGCAGGCTCTGTGAATTTGAATCATCATAGAAACAGTGGAATATCAGAACATTTGACAAGTTTTAATTCAGCCAATGGTATTACTGAACTACTTTTTAAAAAGTTGTTAATCCAGCCGTACCTATTGTTGAACTACTTCTCACTCAAACTCATTAATAAATTTCCAGCTCAGATAAAAAATCTCTATCGATTCAAATTCAAAGGGGGGTTAGAGAGGACTAAAGAGAATTTTGGATAAAACATCTGCTAAGAATTTAAAACTTTTATAGCTTCACTACCAGTGTGATTTGGGTGTTTTTTTTTAATCTATTAGGGCTGGGTTTTTTTAAATACAAAGGAATTCATTACTTAATCATGATACATGGTTTACCCCTTTTTAAAATTATTAAACTTTCCCTTAATAAAAGAATTTAAAGGAGTTTTATCCAACGTTTTTTATTGTTATCTTTTCTCAACTGCTCTGAATAAAAAAAAGTATTTTTAGCCCTGATGTTATCATAGGGTTAGATTTAAAAATACTTGGTGTGATAAATATTTATTGCAAAGTCTTGTTATTTTACTCCGCGCCATCCAGCCGGCACATTTGCAAACTAGGCCCAACTCCAGGTTAGGGGTTCGGATAATGTTTTGTACACAAATACTTCGGATACAGAATCTTTAACCTGGACTGAGAAACACTGTTTGGACTTTATGAAATTAAAGTAGCGGGAAATTGAAAAAAATCAACGGTCAGAATTTGTCTTACTGGACAGTAAATCAAGATCTTGAAAAGACTAATCGATTACTCTGCATAAAAATTCAGTTTTAAACTAAAATTTTAATTAAAATCCGCGTGGAGATATTGATGAAACTTTGATCATGTAAATTTGGGGAATTTTATTGGATTAACTAAATAAAGACAGGTATTTTTTTACGGGAAATTCTAGAGGATTTTGACATTTCAAATAGAAAAACTTGTTACTTGCTTGAAATTATTATTTTCTAATATCTATATCTTTGCAACTTTTTGTCGTAAACCGAATTGATGTTTTAAACTGTCATTATATAATCTAGCACTAATTCATATTTTAAAATATCCGAGGTCAACAACATTAGGTTGCAAAGAAATAATTATAAGTAAATTAGAGCTCGTGGTGAGTTATCATAATCTTTTAATACTTACTTTATATCTTGATACATTAAAATCATTAAATGAGCGTCTAAATACAATGATTTTTAAATAATTTTTAGTTATATCTAATACAAAGCATTTAAGCGGAATTAAATTTATGTACTGTTCAACTTTTATATTTATGACAATAAAGATGATTTCAAATTAATTTTATGTTTAAGGTGAGAGAGCAGTAAATTATCAGAATAATGAGGAATAGCAGCTCAGAACCAATATCCTTAAAACATATGTCGGGTTCCCTTCGAGGAAGCAGCTCCAGTTATAGTACAGGAGCGTCTGGAACCCTGAACAGCTTACTAAGAGGGAGCAGCTGTGGTTATCTTCCAGGAGCTGCTGGAGCACAGAACAGCCCCCTCCGGGAAAGCAGCTGCAGTCCGCCTAGAGCCAGGATTCCTGATTGTGGTAAAATGAAACTTGTTGCTGTTGGAAACCGATTTTGTCTTACTAAACTTGATCCTGGAGATAAACTTCAACCTGCTCAGGGTTCTACTTTGTCCGGAAACAACAGACCTTCAGGACACATTTCTATCACCAGTACTACCGGAGCTAAACCCCCTCCAGCTAGTCAACATCAGACAACATGGCAGATCAGTCTGAGGTCAAGAAGTAGCTCAGATGAAAGATCTGTCCTTAGGTAAATATTGTTCTAAATATTGCACATTTGTCAAAGAACTAGTTCTAGGCCTGTTTACATTGTTTCAGGAGAACGGAGTCAGGAGAGGAACCGGATAAAAGAACTATCTCCAAAGACTCAAACAATATTAAAAAAGCATATCTGAAAGAAAATACAGTTCCTAAAATCAAGGAACGAATCATATCCTTGCAGGACAGCTTCTCCAGTTCCAGAAGTAAGGTCAGCACTATGCCCTGGAGTAGAAACCTTCAACCTAATTCTCCGGATTCACAGAAGCTGAGGAAGACGAGTTCCAGTCCATGTCTTTTCATTAAACAGACTGCAATGAAGTTATCTCAGAACAAACCAATCAAACTCTTTCCAAATTCGTCCAGAGCTATAGAAACAAAACTTTCACAGGTTTTCACAATAAAAAATAACAAACGTATATGGATAAAAAAGTATCAGGTATTTTCAATAAGTTAATTTGTTTACCCAGGTTGTAACGGAGGAGATAAAATTTCGTGAAAGAACGCAGCATGCTCCCAGAACTGTTGTGGAAATATCTGAACTCTCAGACGAAAGACGACGAATAAAGTCTTACTCCGTAGGTCCTTGGGGTCCTAACGACCAAAATTCTTTAAGATCTAGAACTGAGGTTCAAGATCCTGCACCGAGGAGAGGTGAGATCCGTCCCAACACTGACGTGCAGATTTCTCAGCCAAGATATGAAGTTCACGAGAAAGATGTGGATCGGGTTTCTAGGAATGACATTTGTAAACTGACAGACATTGCTCCTCATACACTTCACACTAACAGGTGAATACTTTTTCATTAGAAACAGATAAGATAATGGAAAGGATAGTTAAGATTTGCGAATAAATTAAATCTAACATGAAATGGAGTTAGTGGAAAAAGATAGTTAGGGAGTAGATTAAGGAGAGTTAGGGAGTATATTATAGATAGCCAGGGAGTAGATTAAGGAGAGCCAGGGTGTAGATTAAGTAGAGTCTGAGAGTATATTAAGGAGAGTCTGAGAGTAGATTAAGGAGAGTCAGGGAATATATTAAAGAGAGTCAGGGAGTAGATTTAGGAGAGTTAGTGAGTATATTGTAGATAGCTAGGGAGTAGATTAAGGAGAGCCAGGGTGTAGATTAAGTAGAGTCTGAGAGTAGATTAAGGAGAGTCAGGGAATAGATTAAGGAGAGTCAGGGAGTAGATTTAGGAGAGTTAGGGAGTATATTATCGATAGCTAGGGAGTAGATTAAGTAGTGTCAGGAAGCAGATTCAGGAGAGCAAGGAAGTAGATTAATAAGAGTCAGTTAGTAGATTCAGGAGAGTCAGGGAGTAGATTAAGGAGAGTCAGAGGTTAGATTAATGAGAGTCAGGGAGAAGATTAAGGAGAGTCAGGGAGTAGGCTTAGGAGAGTTAGGGATTATATTATCGATAGCTAGGGAGTAGATTAAGTAGTGTCAGGAAGTAGATTCAGGAGAGCAAGGAAGTTGATTAATAAGAGTCAGTTAGTAGATTCAGGAGAGTCATGGAGTAGATTAAGGAGAGTCAGGGAGTAGGCTTAGGAGAATTGGGATTATATTATCGATAGCTAGGGAGTAGATTAAGTAGTGTCAGGATATAGATTCAGGAGAGCAAGGAAGTAGATTAATAAGAGTCAGTTAGTAGATTCAGGAGAGTCAGGGAGTAGATTAAGGAGAGTCAGGGAGTAGGCTTAGGAGAGTTAGGGATTATATTATAGATAGCTAGGGAGTAAGTAGTGTCAGGGAGTAGATTCAAGAGACTAAGGGAGTAGATTAAGGAGAGCAAAGAAGTAGATTCAGGAGAGTCAGGGAGTAAATTGGTTAAAACCAGGAAGTAGATTGGCTAAAACCAGGACGTTGCTTTAGGATAGTTGGAGAAGACTCGTGGAAAGTTTAATAGGAAGAGGAAAGAAAAGAAGTACTTGTGGGAAGTTGAATAGGAAGAGGAAAGAAAAGAAGTACTTGTTTGAAGTTGAATAGGAAGAGTAAAGAAAAGAAGTACTTGTGGAAAGTTGAATAGGAAGAGGAAAGAAAAGAAGTACTTGTGGGAAGTTGAATAGGAAGAGGAAAGAAAAGAAGTACTTGTGGGAAGTTGAATAGGAAGAGGAAAGAAAAGAAGTAGTTGTGGGAAGTTGAATAGGAAAAGGAAAGAAAAGAAGTAGTTGTGGGAAATTGAATAGGAAGAGGAAATAAAAGAAGTACTTGTGCGAAGTTAAATAGGAAGAGGAAAGAAAAGAAGTAGTTGTGTGAAGTTGAATAGGAAGAGGAAAAAAAAGAAGTACTTGTGGAAAGTTGAATAGGAAGAGGAAAGAAAAGAAGTACTTGTTTGAAGTTGAATAGGAAGAGGAAAGAAAAGAAGTACTTGTGTGAAGTTGAATAGGAAGAGGAAAGAAAAGAAGTATTAAGTCAAAAAAGGATTGAGTGCATGATGAGAATAAATAATAAATGAATAATAAGAATGAAAAAAGAAAGTAAGGAGAAATAGGACGTGTATCCACAAGAGTAAGGATAGAGCATTTTTTAAAAGTTTTTTTTTAATGAAATATAACTAAAACATGCAAAATTAAGTGTTTTTCAGGAGAAAATATTTAAAAGCCTCCAAAAACAGAGGTTTTGGGAATATTTCCCCCAATTCTAAAAAATAATGGAAAAGGAAAGGATAGATAATTAAGGATTTGAAGGAATAAGGAGAGACCGAAAGGGGAGTTAAAAAAAAACATTGAATGAAATAAAAAGAGTTATGAAAAGAAATGAAGAGATTAGGAGGATTATTTAGTAAAGCAAAGAAGGGAAGTATGTAAGGACGGAAAAGGGCCAAATGTGGAGAGATAGAAAGTAAATAAATGAAAGTTGGGGAGAAGATAAAAGACAGCTATGAAGTGGTTTCGGGAAACCGCGAGAAGAGGGGTTTAGAAGAGAAAGGGATTGGATGGATTGGAGTAGGGATAATGTTAAAGAAACTGTAAGCATAATTTCAAGTGACCCTCCAGTGCCCGATTAACAACAATACTCTTGAAACCTTTCTCTGATCAATAATGTGGAAGATATTTCGTTTTTAAGGTTTAAAGGCATTTATTTTTGATAATTTCTATATGTTTTTCTAAAGTAAAATGTGCAAGTCACTTTTGTAGAGAACCCACAGTTTAAAATAATCAGATTACAAAATTATAAACATTGAAATCTAATTTATACTTGATGAGGCAAAGGTTTTAATGGTACCGTTGTGAATCCAAAGAGATTCACTTAGTATTACGCAAACAGTCCCTTTAAGACAAATTAAGAGAGCTCGTTTTGACAGGTTTAGAAATTTTCTTTTATTGGAATTGATAAAGTAGTTTTCGATAAAATTGACCATTAAATCTAGTTCTTTAACCTTTCCCCCGGCCGAGAGATAGTTAAAATTAATGTTAATGTTAACCTCATCAGCCTCTAGAGGCCGGAGTGTTAAAAAACTAGATTTATTGTTTTGTTATTTTGTTTTGCTTTGTTTTGTTTTATTTGTGTACAGATAACAGAAGAAGATTAAACTTTTAATGCATAGAGGTGGGAATTACAGGTTAATACAGGGAGTCTCATAAAAACTTTTAATGTAATTCTAAGAAAATAATTATCAAGCTATTTTATGTGGTACATCTGTTTTTTACTGTTCATTGTTTATTAAATAGTATTATATAAAATTGAGGTAGAATACGTCAGGAAATGTTTGCTTTTATTAAAAAATTGCAATATTTTGCAAGCCCAGGCCAGTAACCTGTGAGAGTCTGAAGTTTTAAGATCTTGTTCTCGAGCATTTCCAACAAATGAAAAAATACGTACAATTTTTAGAATTTAAAAGAAATACAGTCTTTGCCACAAACTCAAATTTTCTAATCTCTATATCTTTGCAATCTGATGGTGTAAACCTTTGACATTTCAAACTTAGATTATTTAATCTAACAGAATTAATAGATTAAAATATCAAAAATCTACGACATTGGGTTGCAGAGATAAATGGATCATAAAATAAGAGATTGTGGCAAAGACTCCATTCCTTTCCGCACGTTTTATTTTTTTATCTCCACTATTGTTGAGTTTCCCTTAGTGAGAGTATTGAGCTGGTGGGTGGAACAAATAGAAAGTATTTGTGTAATATCTGTGGAAACTGCAGTTTCTAGTTTCTATATTTCTAGTTTACAATTTAAACATTTCAACGCTTTCCTCATCATCAAACTAGAGATGGGAAACCTTCCTTTTGTCAAGATTAAAATGGAGTAAATTATATCTTTAATTCATTATTTAAAATAGGAAATCGGAAAAACGGAAGAAAAATTAATTTGGGTTTCACTTTAAATTTTTTACTTTTCAAATTACAATCAATTGCCTCAATCTCAATTCTCTCTCCATCTTTGCAACCCATTAATGTAAACCTTTGCAACCCATTAATGTAAACCTTTGCAACCTTTGCAATCTTTAATTCATTATTTAAAATAGGATATCGGAAAAACGGGAGAAAAATAAATTTGGGTTTCACTTTAAATTCCTAATAGGAACTTATCAATTGCCTTAATCTCAATTCTCTCTCCATCTTTGCAACCCATTAATGTAAAGCTTTGAAATTTCAAACTAGGCTTTTTTTCATAGTTTGAAATATCAAATGTCTGCGATATTAAGTTGCAAAGATATAAGGATTAGATTTTTCGAATTTGTGATTCGGTTCCTTTCCACCCAAAGTATATAAGTACAGATATAAGCAATGTTAAGTGTGTGCCCATCCCTAGCTGTTCTATGGGTCTCTGTACTACAAATATTTTCTTTCTAAATACGTATGATGTATCATGTATAGGCTGGATTAGAGCTCTAGTAGCAGTAGTAGCTTGGACTTATTCTCTCGTTTAACAGTTCCTTACTCCTTACTCCTTACTCCTTACTCCTTACTCCTTACTCCTTACTCCTTACTCCTTACTCCTTACTCCTTACTCCTTACTTCCTTACTCCTTACTCCTTACTCCTTACTCCTTACTCCTTACTCCTTACTCCTTACTCCTTACTCCTTACTCCTTACTCCTTACTTTTCAATATCCTCCATTTTAAGTTTTCCTTCCACGGTTCTTCACACTTACCTCCATATATACCTCAAGTGATGAACATTAATTTCTTTTTCATGTCTAATAATTCTATAATATTTAGTTTTATAAATAATTACTATTTTAACTTAATATTATTAAGTTATTGTTCATTTTGATTTTAAATATACAAAGTAGGATCCAGATCGCTTCGTGCAAATCTTTCAAGTAACAATTTTTTAGATTTGAAATGTTTGTGAGCATTTTCATTTATACAATATTGAAACTTTGTATAGGGTTGGAGACATTATAATTGAAAAAACGACTGTTATTGTTTTTATTCTTTACGATGATATTATTCTGGATATTATCCTGAAAGAATAGATTAATTTTTTATGTTTGAATGCAAGGAGAAATATTCTGAGCTAGGAATGGAATTTTGATTAGCTTTTCTCTTCAGGAATTCTCAGACTAATTCATGTTTATTTTCAGAGCTGAGAGAAGAGTTGAAAGAGTAAATTCTTCTCAGATTGCTGTTTCTTGTACCTCAACTCTTCTTCCTGTTTCTGTTTCTCCTCCGACTCATCTTCCTGTTTCTGTTTCTCCTCCGACTCATCTTCCTGTTTCATCTACTTCTCCAACTCAACCTACTCCATCATATACCTTTGATTCTCATTCAAACCTTCCCAGTTCTGAAGATATTTATTCCAATTCTTATTCACCTCCGTCGATCCAACCTGGTTTATCTTCACCCCATCTACCTCACGCTTCTCCGTCCTGCCCTACTCTCGCACACCACTCTACTTCATCCCGTCCTACTCCTGGACACCACTCTAATCCATCCAGTCCTTCTTCTGGACACCATTCTACTCCATCCCGTCCTACTCCTGGAAACCACTGTAATCCATCCCGTCCTTCTTCTGGACACCACTCTACTCCATCCTGTCCTAATCCTGGACACCACTCTACTCCATCCTGCCCTACTCCTGGACACCATTCCACTCCATCCCGTCCTACTCCTGGACACCATTCCACTCCTGATCGTTTCAGCAACAACAATCTTATACATTCACACTCTTCTCCCACCTATCCATATAACCTTGCTCTATCCTATTCCAACCTTGATCCTGACAGATCCCATCCAATCAATGAAACAGGTTGCTTTAAACCCCAAAATATAGATGAGACAGAGTACGAAAATATAGAAGTTCAAGATACAAGAAATACATCTTCAAATAAAAAAGAATATGATTCAGTAATTATCTTGGATTCTCCTCGTAAACCATTGTATCCTATTACCTTATTTGATCAAGAACCTAGTAAAGGAGCAAAGGTTTGTCCTGAGGAAGATTTATCTTCTAGAAGAGGAGATAACTCAGATACAACATCTATCTCTGGACTACCTTTTAGAAGAGCTTTCTCATTGAACCCAGAGCAGAATTTTGAACCTCTATTTTACCAGGTTCAACTTTCAGAATCGGAAAAGGAATCCATCCCGGAGCTGGAGGAGAGAAGGAAACGTTCTCTGACTGCAGAGGATTATTATCAGATAGCATCCAGGTATAGTTGCAAGAGCTCAAGAAACTCGTCCATAGAGTGTTTAGATGAAGCTCAAGGCTCAGTTTACAGAGCGGAGAGGAGAGTGAAAGATAAAAACCGTCATTTTAAAGTGAACTCTCATTACGAGGACTATGAAGACTTTTTGGTAAACACATCTCTTCAGTTTCCTGAGGACGTCCCAACCCAAACCAAAGACATTGGATCCGTTCAGTTTTCTGAGAACATCTTGGGTCCATTCAAAGACTTTGTATCCGTTCAATTATCCGAGGGCGTCTTAGCTACAGCCAAAGACTATGGGCCTATTCACCCATATGAGGACGTCTTAACTCCAGCCAAAGATTTACAATCTGTGAAAATATCTGGAGACATCTTTATTTCAATGAAAGACTCCGAATCCGAACAAATTCCTTTAAAATCTTTGAAAGATTCTGAATCATCGTCTGACGTTTACCCTGGGTTCTCCATTCATCAAGGTATAGATTTATTCATTATAAAAATGGGGAAAAGAAAAAGAGTATTAACAAATTATATAAAGTTCAGTTCATAAGAAAAATAGATTAACAGGAGTTTATAACAATTAGGTTGGATGGTGGGTGAGATAAATAGGATCAGGATAGCGTTGAGATAAATAGGATTAGGATAGCGTTGAGATAAATAGGATTGGGATAGCGTTGAGATAAATAGGATTGGGATAGCGTTGAGATAAATAGGATTGGGATAGCGTTGAGATAAGTAGGATTAGGATAGCGTTGAGATAAGTAGGATTGGGATAGCGTTGAGATAATAGGATTGGGATAGCGTTGAGATAACTTTGAGATAAATAGGATTGAGATAACGTTGAGATAAATAGGATTGGGATAACGTTAAGGTAAAAAGGATTGGTATAACGTTGAGATAAATAGGATTGGGATAGCGTTGAGATAAATAGGATTGGGATAACGTTGAGATAATTAGGATTGGGATAACGTTGAGATAAATAGGATTGGGATAACATTGAGATAAATAGGATTGGGATAGCGTTGAGATACATAGGATTGGGATAACATTGAGATAAATAGAATTGGGATAACGTTGAGATAAATAGGATTGAGATAACTTTGAGATAAATAGGATTGGGATAGAGTTGGGATAAGTAGGATTGTGATAGCATTGACTAAATAGGATTGTGATAGCATTGACTAAATAGGATTGTGATAGCGTTGAGATAAATGTGATTGGGATAACGTTGAGATAAATATGGATTGGGATAACGTTGAGATAAATAGGATAGGGATAGCGTTGAGATAAGTAGGATTGGGATAGCGTTGAGATAAATAGGATTGGGATAGCGTTGAGATAAATAGGATTGGGATAACGTTGAGATAATTAGGATTGGGATAGCGTTGAGATAAATAGGATTGGCATAGCGTTGAGCATCGGTTTTGATCTGTTTTTTAAACATTCAAGATTTTTTGACATTCAGGAGACTCCATTATACAGTACTTCAAGGTCTAATATAATTCTCAAGTAATTGGTTCTTTGCCACAAACTCTGATTTTCTAATCCCTATATCTCTGCCACCCAATGCTGTAGACCTATGAACTCTGTTATGTCAAATAATCTAATTTTGAAATTTCAAAGGTTTATACAATAAGGTTCCAAAGATATAGGGATTGTAAAATTCGAGTTTGTGGCAAAAGACTGAATTCCATTATCAGCCGAATAGACAAAAAACCCAAATGTTTTAAAACAGACAAGAATGATGTCCAGCTCTGGATATAGAGGTTAGGATATCAAGGGAGTAGAAGAGTAGAAACATATTGTCAGAGAATGTGTTTGTAAATTAATTAGGGGAGGGAGGGAGGCGGGGATGAGGGTGGATAGACATGTCTATGAATATTTATATTTTCACTGTTAAATTGGAATCATTGTTAACAATCTGTTCAAAAAACGCAAGTCAACAACAAACAGTTTAAAGCAAGAAAAAGGAAAAATGTAGATTATTTCTAAAATAAGTAAAAACTATTTTCAGGTTCCGGGTTGAGGAGGGAGAGTGACGACATTATCCTGAAACGACCTGTGGATTACAAGACCGAGAACAGGAGAGATAAAATGTCTTCTTCTGATCTAATCTATTCAGAGCCGGAGAAAAATACTTTCTCCTCGTTACTACGCGAGGACGGAGAAACCTTGGAGCCTGAGGATGTTACTCGGAGTAAGAAATATACGAGTGTAATAAGAAACTCTTATCCAAAACCTTTTATTAGAAATAATTACAACCAAATTCAACAAGTTGGTGATTATAAAAATCAAAAAGCTTATGGATACAATTCTAATCCTGACCAAACCTTAAATCAAAATCCGACTTCGAATGAGTTGAAACAATCTCAAACCCGTCTCCAGTGCATGGATTCAACCCGTCTCCAACCTCAAGGTGCAGGGTGTTTCCCAGTGCAGGAATCTACTCGGTCCAAAATTTTAGATTGTATTGACTATCAGGATTCAATCCGATCTCTTGAATCAGACAATTTCCAGTATCATAATTCCACACGAGAACGAGATTCAAACTATCTCCAGGATCACAACAGCATCAATCAATCACAAGGGTCATACTATCTCCACCAGGATCAGAACTTCACAAAACCTCTAGGTTCAAACAAGCTCCAGGATAACAGCATCACTGAATTACAAGGATCAAGCTATCTCCAGGCTCACAGCTTCACTCAATCACAAGGTTCCAACTATGTTCAGGATCACAGTTTCACAGAATCACTAGGTTCAAACGATCAATGGGATCACAAGTCCTTAAAAGCACAAGGTTCAAGTGAGCTCCTCGATCTCAGCTCCACACAATCACAGGGTTCAAGTAAGCACCAGGATCTCAGCTTCACACAATTACAGGGTGCAAACGTTCTCCAGGATAATAATATCAGTGAATCACAAGTTTCAAACAATCACAGGGATAATATCTTTACACCATCAAGTGGTTCAAATAATCTCCAGAATACAGCACTGTATCAAGGTTCCAATATTCTCCCGTATCAATATCCAACCCCGTCCCATGAGAAGGATACTTTACTATTCCAAGTATCTAAGAGTAGCAGTGGAGCAAGTGAATTTTCCGAGGATGAGGAAATAAGAAAAGAGCTTCAAAGCATTCTGGGAAACTCTCAAAACTTTCCCATTAAAACTTCTCAATCCTTGAACTATCAAAAAGATGACATCAATATCTCTAATATTTTACAATCTGGGCAGAACCTCAGCACAGCGGAGAATAATTTCTCTCTGAAAAAGTTGAGTAAAAAGAAGGACATTGAGAAACGTAGTTTGACGGTGACTGCTGGGGAAAGAAGTGGTGAGGAGAAAGGAAGCGTGACCCAGCATACACTTCAGAATCAATCCAACTTCAGTGCTAGCAACAGCAGACTCAACAATAATTCAGGTTTAAAATACATTCTTTTTTATTAGAAAAACTAATATCGGAGCGATTTGATTCATGTATGAGTTTTTTTTCTGGAATAGGAAAGGAATTTATTGAATTTCTTTCAGGTCTTACATTCTATAAATTTTTAAGCTAAGATTTAATCAAATTCTTCAAATATCATCTCACTTTCTTTGATTAAAATACCTCACAAGAAGTTGATCCTTGAGAATGTGTTTAAATGATTTTTTTCTTAAGATTTTTGTGATTTCATCCCAGTGAATGCTGTCACAGAATCTTATTCATTCTACCAACAAAACAACAGTTTGGAAAAGAACATATACACAGATAAGGAAGAGGGAAGAGAATCAATTAGAAGAGAATCTTCTATCAAGGAATGGTCTCCAGGTTTGAGAAGTGTGCGTGAAACGTGTCCAGGTTATACTGGATCAAGGGAATCTTCGCCCGAGGAGGATTCAGTTGAAACCCGGGGATTTAGAGAACCATCTGAAAGCCCATCAAGTGAAACTGAAACTAGGTGAGAAGATAGTTTTAACATGAGTTTTGAAATTTAAATTCATTTTAATCTCCCCCTCTGAACCCTCTGTATTTTGTTTGACAAAATTGAGGGTAACTGACAGAACTTTTTTAGATACTTAAACTTACATATTTAAGAGACATTTTCTAGCAGGAGATTGAGATTCCGGAATCCGCGAGAGAGAAGAAACTCAATACCTGAGAGGGAAATAGATACCGAGGATACAGACAATGCAGTTTTGCAACTCAACCTCAGAAAGATATCTGGCAAACATCTGGTGCACCCGGATGTACAGAATTTAAATCCTAATCCTTCAAACCTGAACCCTAATCAGGAGAAGGATAACGAGAAGGAGGAGAACGAGGACGAGGAGGATGACGATGAACCTCCAGGTTTAGGTATTATCACAGTTTCTCCGTTCTGTAGTGACGGAGAAGAGTCGGACGAGGAGATTGAAGACTTAACTCGTGAACCTTTAAACAAAAATAGAAACCCAGAAGAGGACGAAGAGTTGGATGAAGTAAATCTTTTGGAGAAACTACAATCCTTAGATTTGAGTGGAAACGTTCTGCAGCCTTGGCAGCCCATCCTATCCAGTATGAAGGACACTAAGAAAGGAATTTTCCGCCTGGGACGGATAAAATTACGCGGGAATAAACCTGGTCTAAGACGGAGTCGGAGCTGGCAAGGGTTTGGAAGTGGGTTGAGATATGAATCTGTATCCGATGCAGGACTTCCTCCACCACCTTCTCATCCCCCAGCAATGACACCATCTAACCAACAAACATCAAGGTGGGATATTTTTCATTCGTTTTAACTCTGTTTTTTCCTCATTCAAAGGAAGTGAGTTTTTGCCACAAACTCAGATTTTCTTATCCATATATCTTTGCAACCCAAAGTGGAAGACTTTAGATATTTCAAACTATGAATTCTGTTAGATAAAATAATCTAAGTTTCAAATATCAAATGTTTTCACCATTTAGTTGCAAAGCTATAAAGATAAGTAATTTTGATTTTGTGGCAAAGACTCAATTCCTTACATAAAGGAATTGAGTCTTTGTCAATAACTCTGATTTTGAGTTAATATATCTTTGCAACCCAATGTCGTATCCCTTAGATATTTCAAAATATGAATTCTTTTATATCATTTAATCTAAGTTTGAAATATAAAAGATTTGCACCGCCATCAGGTTGCAAATATAAGAAAATCTGAGTTTTTGTAAAGACTCAAATCCTTTGTTATGTCAAACTTAAAGTTTTTCTCGACCTCCATTGCAATCCTTAAACATTCTTTTCATTGTTTATTTTTTTCTTGCCATCTTTTATATTACAAACTGTTTATACCCTACCAGTTTTCATTTCAATCCTTCGAATGTAAATATCAACTATTTTAATATGACCCTTTTACCAGTTCATTGATTCCATCATGAATTAAAGCTTATATAGTACAATATTTATTTTTCGTTTCAAAATGTTTTCGAGCAATCATATTTTTACTTACAATTCCTTTAACGGATTTCTTCCATTTACCAATTAATGTCTGGTTTTAATTCATCGATTCATAATTGATTCATATTTCATTTTTCAAATCTTTAAAAAAAAATTGAGTTTTTGACACAAACTCAAATGGTGTAAATCTTTGTTATTTCAAACTTTGACTATTTGATTTGATCTCACAGAATTCATAATTTGAATTATGAAAGAAATAGGGATTCAAAATTAGAGTTTGTGACAAAAAAGCAAATCAATCCTTGCATTATTCTAATATTTAAAAAGTTGTTTATTTAATTCTACAATAATTTCAATCCAGCTAAACTAGGCTTTCAGGGAGCTTCGCTCTTCCCCATTTACTATTTAAACTTTTAATTCTTGCTCTTTCTGTGAAATTTTTGTCATTCTCCTATACATTATAATACGAAAACAAAAAAACCGCGGATTTAATAATATATTTTCGTGGAATTTCAAAATTTTATAAAAACGTAGTTTTTTTGAGGCAAATATTTGAAATTATGATCACCCATAAACCTTCCCTAAAGTCATGTGAGGTATATCCCAAAACTTTGGCCCGATCGGTTTAGCTGTTTTGACGTCGCGTTTATCGGAAACAAACAAACAGACAAGCAAAGTATTTGTATAGGTAAATCAATATAAATAAATAGTTTTAAATCTCTCTTAAAATCATCAGTATTATTCTTTCTCCTCTTTCTCCTCTTTCTCCTCTTTCTCCTCTTTCTCTTCTTGCTCCTCTTTCTCCTCTTTCTTCTCTTTCTCCTCTTTCTCCTCTTTCTCCTCTTTCTCCTCTTTCTCCTCTTTCTCCTCTTTCTCCTCTTTCTCCTTTTTCTCCTCTTTCTCCTCTTTCTCCTCTTTCCCCTCTTTCTCCACCTTTTCCTCTTTCTTCTCTTTCTCCTATTTCCCCTCTTTCTCTTCTTTCTTTTATTTCTCCTCTTTCTCCTCTTTTTCCTCTTTCTCCTCCATTTCCACTTTCTTCTCTTTCTCCTCTTTCCCCTCTTTCTCCACCTTTTCCTCTTTCTTCTCTTTCTCCTATTTCCCATATCTTTCTCTTCTTTCCCCTCTTTCTCCACCTTTTCCTCTTTCTTCTCTTTCTCCTATTTCCCCTCTTTCTCTTCTTTCTCTTCTTTCTCCTCTTTCTCCTCTTTCTCCTCCATTTCCTCTTTCTTCTCTTTCTCCTCTTTCCCCTCTTTCGCCACCTTTTCCTCTTTCTTCTCTTTCTCCTATTTCCCATCTTTCTCCTCTTTATCCTCTTTCTCCTCTTTCTCCTCCTTCTCCTCTTTCTCCTCTTTCTTCTCTTTCTTCTCTTTCTCATTTGTTTTTCTCTTTGTTTTTCTCTTTGTTTCTTTCTTTGTACGTACAGTTTTACCCACAAAGGATTAGACTTTCATGACGACCTAAAATCATTGAATGTAAGTCTTCTAAAGTCTTTAATATTCATAGATCAATCTGTTTTGAAAATATGTCTTTCCTGTACGTATAAATTACAATTTCATATATTTCATCTTTTTCTAAATGTTAAGAGCACATAATAAATGATGTTTTAATGAAAAAAAAAGTTTACAGCTGCAGAGAACATTGCTTGTAAGATCAAACGCAGACTTATACTTTGTGGGTAACCCTGTATCATAATTTTCGGTTTACTTTCATTACGGATTTATATATATTCTGCACATTACCCCGAAAATTCTTTTAAGCCCAATGTCCAGAAAACTTCTTAATATTTTTTATCTTAAAAATTTCTTGATTGACAGGAATTCATATCTTTTGTAGATTGATTTGAATTTTAAAAGTTTCTAACAAGCTTTTTTCGTGCGCAAACTCATTTATATGATTGAGTTAGGAATTAATTCACTTTCGTTTATCTAGAAAATATTCATAGATCAATCTGTTTTGAAAATATGTCTTTCATGTATAAATTACAATTTCATATATTTCATCTTTTTCTATATGTTAAGATCTGGCTGAACTTTAAACTGTTTAAGAATAGATTTGCATTTCACCCTGGGTGTTATTTCTTTTTCATATCTGATCCGGAATTTAATTTATTTTTTCCTTTCAAAAATCTATTTCAAGAAAGATTAAATAAACATGGATATTCCCCTCTGGGTGTCCTTTTTGTTGACATTAAACTGATCTAGGAACTATAATAGTCCCTGTTCTCTTATATTTACACATAAACAAACAAAACAGTTTTAAAAGAACTTTGCTCAAGAAAATAAATTCTAACATTTTTCATGGAACTTTACTCCAGAGGAAAAATGAAATCTCCTTTCATCTAAATTATGAGTTGCCCTTTTTATCTAGGCCTGGACCTTTATGCAAAGGTATTTCTGCCGGGGAAAGATAATCCCTCTAGATCCGGCATCTGTTTTCAGTTTCCTAGATTTTCAGTTCAATCCATCGTCCCGCATTTATCTAGATTTCATAATATTCCCGCTGAATTCTTTTCCCTGAGCTGAGATGATTACTCGCGACATTTAACTCATGTATAATTGCAAGGACGGAGAATGATGATAGTTAATATGATATTTCAGTCCGGTCCGTGCTACCAGACAATCTCATTATCGTCCCCTATCTAACTCTGAATTTGGGCCAAAATGTTCAGCTTTCCCTCCCCCTTCCTTATCCTCATCCTCCTTCCCCGTCGTGAGATCCCAGTCCGAGGGGAATGTTCTCCGGAGCAGTACACAGGCAGGGATACCCGGAGTACAGGTGGTCCGTCCTAACCCTTTTTAACTTTTATTTGGGATTTTTAAAAAATCCTGTTTACTGCAAACATAATACAAAGATTTTATGAAAACTATTATCTAAGAAATTTTTTTAATTAAATAAAACAATCCTTAATCCGCCGCGCGGTATCCCAGGACGAGGATATTGAATACGAGTGTGTTGTGACCTGCAAGGTTAGAAGACGAGGAGAAGACGACATGTCCTCCCTGGTTCCACATCCTCTACCACCCGGAAGAGATGATCTTACGGAGCAGGAGATCAACCATCTTATGTCAGTGATTGCTAACATGGAAAGTGTGAAGGGTGTAGGTGGGCGGGAGGAGGAGAAACAAAGTCCTCCTCCGACAGATGATGAACTAAGAGAGTTTATTGATTATGTCGGGATGGGTGTTGTAAACCAGGATAGGGTAGATTATGAAGAACAGCGTCAAGATGAAGGTCAACCTGAACCTCCTAAGCGGAGCAAACAGGCGAACCAGTATTTCTGGAGGAGACACTATCTCAGTATTATCCAGGAGGAGGAGGAGCACGCTGATCAGTCTCAGGGTTCCTCTAGAGCTAACTCCAGGCCTGCATCAACCTATGAGAACAATATGTTCAGAATGCCAAGGATACTCTCCATCTCCCCGCTCTGCACCGTGGAGCAGAGGGGGAGGGAGGAGAAGAGGGACTCCAGGGAGTCCTGGGAGAGTGAAATGTCTGTAGAATCTCTAACCTCGATTAATTCAATTTTGTCCGAAGAGGGTTCAATCACATCCTCAGGATCTTTTCAATCTGACACATGTCAAGAGAAATCAAACTCTCGTGATACCGAGGGAGGACGGAGAGCTTATGAAAGTTTATCATGTCTTCTCGACTCAGTCCCTCCTCCCTCAAATACTCCGGATTCAATGGTTATAGATCCTTCTATATCTAAACCTTGTTTAAGTGAGATAAATCCTGTGTCCAGGATAAGAACAGGAATGGGATCTAGGTTTAAACAGCAGTTACAGGAAATAGAAGAAAGGAAACTTAATGAAGGTAAACGTGAGTTAAATAAAACCCGTACACAGGTATATACTCCGACCCGTTCTGACCCAACCCAACAACCTTTAAATAATTCTAGTTTATCTTCTCAGGGTACAATTGAGGTAATTTTTTTTAAACAAGCAAAACAAAGCTTTTGAGATTATTGTTAAGATTTTTATTCTGGATGAAAGTTTTCGTGACAATGTTTTTAATATCACTTGACGTAATTTCAAATGATCCTCTTTTTGAAGAGTTACATGTCCGATTTACAAGGGTACCCTTAAATTCTTTGTCTAATGGATTTATCTTTGTCTCTATCTGAATATTTATTTTTTTCCATTATGGTTCTCTAAACAAAATGACGTGCGGATTTATGAAGCAGAGACAAAAGAAGGAAATGTCTGGAATTTATATCTTTTCATCGGGAATATAACAGTTTAAATTATGGATCAATTGAAATTACATTCACAGTTCTTCTAATTAATGCTTGTCTAAATAGAGTGCGTCGGGAGAAAGTAATATTAAGTTGAGAATAGTGCATCTAATAAAATTCATCTTTCCCTGGGATTTCAGTTCATCAAAAAGATTGTTTTCATCAGATTAACCTTTCAGTTTTATGTTACATAGAAAGGTTTCTTCAAAAAGAGTCGAAGTTCTATAAATGTTGTTTATTTATTTTTAATTTTTCTAAAATATTGTTAACAGATGAGGACGAAAATGATGGAAGGGAAGGAAACACTAACGCAAGGTTTAGGAAAGATTCCTTCTCGGAGTCAGGAGAAGGACGAAGGACAAGTCCAACCGGAGATAGGACTCAAGAAAGATCTTCCGAGGGAGAAGGTTCCAGAACTCCCACAAGAAACAGGTTTTGTTAAACAAATATCTATTGTTTACTTCCTTTACTTTTTAGGAGGAAGAAGCTGGGGTTATAGGGTTAATGACAATTCGCTTTCTATTAGTTTAAAAAGTCTAATTTGTCCATTAAAACACCTGCATTCCACGTTTAATTGTTGTTTAGAAACAATGCAGAGAAGAAGGAGATCAATTCCGTCCAGTCGACTCAGGAAACCCGCCAGGGACTTGCAGGAGGACCTGGAGTAAAATCTGAACCAGGACCGAATCTCAGGGTGCCCTCTGTATCCCGGAGTCAGAGAAAGAACCTGACAATCAGTACCCTGATAGCAGAGTGTGAGGAGTACGTCCAAACGGATAGGTTTACTCAGGATCTAAGTTCTAATCTTGTCACCCTGTTCAAAGGAGGAACCGGAAAAGTCGGGACGGATTCCTCCAATAATAATCCTGTAAAACAGTCCCAAGAGAAGAAGATTGAGAGTGAAGGTGGCGGGAAGCCTCCCAAAATCCCCCAAAACATGAGACTTAAACCAATTGTGGACCGAGCAGAGAAGGTTGAGAAGGTTGGGTTGGGAAAGTTTCCTGGTCTCCGGGAGAGTGTTTATGATAATGTTGAGAGTGATATTGAGGATGAAGGTATAGATAACTACTACAGTGATGACAGCGGGACTCCACCAAAGGTAAAAACACTTTTCTTAAAATTTCATAAAAACCGGAATTAATCAAATTTGAGGATAAGAAGTTTCGAGTTTTTGACGTTTTCTGAAATTTGTTTTTTGGATAATCGGTCAAATAGATAATTAATCATAATGAAAGGTGCGAGAAGACAAAAATGTGTAAATTCATTTTTTTTTCAAAGAAATTCCAGATTTAAAAGGTTTTCTCCGTTTTATCTACAGACGTCAACGACATGAAATTCAAGATTTAATAAGTTTTATTTAAAACTGTTTTCTTCTTATAATTTCTAGTTGTAAAATTAGGTTTGTATTTCTGCTCTGTTTATCAAGAATCTAGAGTTACACCAGGAGCCCCAATAGTTTAGTTTTCACCAGGGACAGGGATGTTAACTTTTGAAATTTTTGACGCTGCTTCATTTTTTGGACATTTTTTTATTTTTATTTAAAAAAAAAAATCTTTTCAGATTTGCCGAGGAGTCAGACATGAATCTAGTCCTGCTCAGTACTCAGAGGGGTATGACAGCGCTCAGGAGTCAGGTAAGATATGATATCTGTATAGTATATAGTGTAGTGTAGTGCATAGTATTTAGATATAAGTATGATATTCCTATACTAGTATTATATAGTGTCTAATGTCCAGAGATATGATATCTGTAAAGTATATAGTATAGTGTAGTGTAGTGTAGTGAATAGTATTTAGATATAAGTATAATATTCCTATACTAGTATTATATAGTGTCTAATGTCCAGAGATATGATATCTGTAAAGTATATAGTATAGTGTAGTGTAGTGTAGTGCATAGTAATTAGATATAAGTATAATATTCTTATACTAGTATTATATATCGTGTTTAATGTCCAGAGATATGATATCCCTATACTAGTATATTATATAGTGTCTAATGTCCAGAGATATGATATGCCTGTACTTGTAGAGTTGGGATAGGTTAGTTTTGAAATGGGAGAGTAACGAGTTATTTCTACCATGTACGGAGAAGGAATAGGTTAGTTTCAACCCATATTTGAGAAGAGATAGGTTAGTTTTATCCGCGGAGTAGGGAGGTGATAGTCAGGGTCAATCCATATTAAAAAAGAGCTAGGTTAATTTTAACCCGGAGTAGAGAATAACTACTTTTGTTTGATCACGAAGCAGGGAGGAAATAGGTTAGTTTTAACCCGGAGTAAATATGAAATAAAAGATAGGTTAGTTTTAACCCGGAGTAAATAAAATATAGGTTAGTTTTATCCCGGAGTAAATAAAAGATAGGTTAGTTTTATCCCGGAGTAAATAAAAGATAAGTTAATTTTATCCCAGAGTAAATGAAAGATAGATTAGTTTTATCCTGGAGTAAATAAAACATAGGTTGATTTTATCCCGGAGTAAATAAAAGATAGGTTAATTTTATCCCGGAGTAAATAAAAGATAGGTTAGTTTTATCCCGGAGTAAATAAAAGATAGGTTAGTTTTATCCCGGAGTAAATAAAACATAGGTTAGTTTTATCCCGGAGAAAATAACAGATAGGTTAGTTTTATCCCGGAGTAAAAAAAATACCAAAGTGAAAGGTTACTTCGTAGTTTTAATTCAGAGTTTGAAAAAGATACGTAAGAAAGTGAAGTTGTAAAATAAAAATGATAATAATTTGTCATATGGGAGCAAATGGGGGCATTAATATCAAACGTTTTTTCAATGATTTTTATTGATTTTAATCAGGATGAATTTAGTTTTTAAAGAGCGTGTGAAGTATAAATTTGATCCAAGAGTATGTAAATTTTAGAGTCGGTATTTATCCAACAGCTTCAGTGTTTAAGAAAGTAATTTGTTTATGAAATATAACAAAAACATACAAAACTAAGTGTCAGGGTATTTAAAAACCTCCAAAAAAAGAGGTTGCGGGAATATTTCCCTCCAATTCTAAAAAAATATGAAAATTAAATAAAAGGAAAGAAAAAGGAAAACATATTTATTGTTTACATTATATTTACTACAAACTGGTGGTGGATTGTTAGTATTTTTCGACGATGAACTTACAACTTTTTAGAAATAAAAATGATAGATTTATTTGTAATGTAAAAAAAAATAGGCTTTATCAGTTATGAAAAAGATATGTACTTTAAGACCAGTAATCCTACATCAAATGGAATAATTAAACATAAGTATGGTTAGTTATAATCTATTTTTATGTTCTATTTCTAAATGTAAATCTACAAAAATGTAAAAAACCCAAAAAATAACGATACTCCTATAACTTCCGGATTATGAGCATACATAGTTTTTGACGATAGGTCTGTGTAAGGTAGTGTACAAATGTATATAATTACATTTAAAAATTACAAAGCGTACCGGATTCATAACTTGAAAACTCTGTTATTCTTGATCCTCACTGCCTTTCTTATTTTTCCGTAGCAGAGCTCATCCCGTTAATTAATTTTATTTTATCATCGGTAGGAAAACTTGTTCAGGGGGATCTCAACCGATAAAATTCCATTTACTTGAGATGCAGATCAAGCGTGGATGAAGGGCTGGGAGAGGGGGGGGGGAGAAATAATGGGAAAGAGACGGAGGGAAGGCACGGTAAACTAAAACTCCGGATTAAAAGTCCATCAAGTCTTAACTTTAGAACCGAGTTTCTCCCTTTAAGTGTATGATTTATTGTATTTGCATTTTTTATACTTTTTGTTGACTAATATTTTTAAATTTTTAAAGTATATAAAGTTTCCTACATTATATTGACGGATTTTAAATAAATATCAAAAGAAAACCAAAAATATTCTGATACAGACCGGATGCACTTTGTTGTAGTTTTCTACGTGAAGGCTGTAAAATGAAGAGAACGAAAATATTCTGATACAGACAGGATGCTCTTTGTTGCAGTTTTCTACGTGAAGGCTGTAAAACGAAGAGAACGGAAATATTCTGATACAGACAGGATGCACTTTGTAGTAGTTTTTTACGTGAAGGCTTTAAAACGAAGAGAACGAAAATATTCTGATACAGACAGGATGCACTTTGTTGTAGTTTTCTACGTGAAGGTTGTAAAACGAAGAGAACGAAAATATTCTGATACAGACAGGATGCACTTTGTAGTAGTTTTTTACGTGAAGGCTGTAAAACGAAGAGAACGAAAATATTCTGATACAGACAGGATGCACTTTGTTGTAGTTTTTTACGTGAAGGCTGTAAAACGAAGAGAACGAAAATATTCTGATACAGACAGGATGCTCTTTGTTGTAGTTTTCTACGTGAAGGCTGTAAAACGAAGAGAACGGAAATATAAAGAGAAGGCGAAGATGGAAGGGAAAAGAAAGGATAAGCGTGAGACTGGAAAGGTGGAAAGGGAGGGAGGGAGGGAGGGAGGGGGAACTCTTTATAGATAGGATTAGGTGGATCAGGATTAATTCCATAGAAGTATGATTAAATAAAGAATTTGCAGGATTGCAATTGTTGGAAGGAAAGAATATTATCAGAGAATAAATATGGCCTAACACAAATATTTAGCTATTTTCCTCTCTCTTTAAATTGCTTTATCTAATGTTTTTTATTGAAATATTTAGATTCCCCATATTTATCATCTAAATGATGATGAAATCCCCAACAGTCTCCCTCTAATCTTTCAAGTTTCTGAAGCCTCCTTTCCTATGTTTTACATGTCCTTCCCTCAGCTGTAATCCTCCTTTAAATACATAACAGCTACTGAGTATTCACTCCCCCACTTGTAATTGTACTCTCGGTATATTTATGGACCTCAAGACAAGAATTAAAGGAAAACTTGAGATTCCAGGTTTAATGTTTCAAAGACTAAACGACTCTATGAACTTGACACACGTGCTATAGATGGGTTTATGTCAGCTCCGGGTTCATCGTTCTATACATCAATCCTTCTCCCACCCTTTTCCTCTCATCCTTCAATATCACTTTTTGCCCAACTTATTCACTTTCACCATTCCTCTTCCTCGTAACTTGATCCCTTGTCTCTAAATCCCTTCACTTTCACCATTCCTCTTCCTCGTAACTTGATCTCTTGTCCCCACCCAAAACCCTTCACGTTCACCATTCCTTCTTTCTCGTAACTTGATCCCTTGTCCCCAAATCCCTTCACTTTCATCCTTCAATCTTTAACCTTCCCCGTATTCAAGCTCTTCTATCCCCTTCATATTAATTCCTCCTACACCCCCCCCCCCCTTAGGATATACACCTTTTAGATCATAATTTTTATCATTTTCTCTGTCAACCTTTCTCCCACCCATCATTGATCCTCATCCAATCTTCTTTGCATAAATACCCTGCCCTTCTTCTTGTCATGCTTTACGATATCATGTGGAGATCAAACCAGATTCTTCTCTTCAACTCACACCTCTTAAAATTCAGTTCTTATCTCTATCTATATATTCCCCCTTTTTTGTTCTAGCACGTACCGTAGATTAGATCAATCCACCCTTCCCCTATCCGGCCAAGACCCAGATAAATTTAAATCAACCTTTTTCTTTTCGTTGATTCTTTCCATTTGTTCATTATTTATTATTAATGCATACTCACCCGTGATCCTATAAACGAATTCTTTACACTACTCACAAGGCAACCAAACTGGAATCTTTTTTGTCGTTTACTTAAAATTGTTTTAATGATTTTTTTTGATCTGTACTTTTAATCTAAAATTAAAACAAAATTTCTCTTCAATCTGAAATACTTATATGTAACCCAATTTTCAGAGCTCTATTCTCCTATATTTCATTAATACAAGATTCTCTGAGCTCTATTCCCTTTGCATTCGAATTTCTGAGCTCCATATTTTGATCCGATTTTCTAAGCTTAATTTTCCAGTATTCATCAAGTTTACACCCGATCCGATTCTCTGAGCTTTATTCTCCAATATTCATTCTACATCTGATTTAATGAGCTCCATTATTCAGTATTCTCATGTCACCCGATTTTCTAGGCACCATTCCCCAGAAATTCAATTAAATCCTATTTTCTGAGCTTTAAATTCTCTAGTATTATCTTAACACTTGATTCTCTGACCTTTATTCATTTATATCCGATTCTCTGAGCTTTATTCTCCAGTAGAATTGATTTACACACGATTCTTTGAGCTTTATTCTCTAAAATTCAGTTTATATACGATTCTCTGAGCTTTATTCTCCAGTATTCAGTTTAAACCCGATTCTATGAGCTGTATTCTCCAAAAGTTAATTTACACACGATTCTTTGAGCTTTATTCTCCAGTATTACATTTACACACCGATTCTCTGAGCTTTAATCTCCAGTATTCAGTTTATATACGATTCTCTGAGCTTTATTCTCTAGTATTACCTTTACACCTGATTTTCTGAGCCTCACATTTTATTTTCATGCGTAATGTATACTTTTGATTGTGGCTTTAGCTGTAAGCATCTTCTCTTTGTACAATATAAAACAATAAAAAAAAATCGTGGATTTAAAAAAAACAAATTTTGTGGATTCTTTTTATATAATGAAAATCGAATTTTGTTGGAGGCTAATTTTTATATTTTGATCATCCATAAACCTTCCCTGGGGTCATGTGAGGTCCCACACAAAATTTTGGCCCGATAGGTTCAGCCGTTTGACGTTTATTGGATACAAACAAACAGACAAACAGATAAGCAAAGTATATATATAAGTAGTGTGTATAATTATATAAGTTTGATTTGACTTGATTCCGAGTCTATGCTGTCTAGAATATTCTTGATACCCTTTCTTTTCCTTCATAGCTTTTTCCCTTCTATTCATCACCCTTCTCCACCCCCTCCCCCAGCAATACAAATACTGATATAAGGCGAGGACGGATTTACTCCGTATGCTCTCTCTAGCTGTACAGAGAGTATTGTTTATCAGAGTATCCAGTCCAGTATGGAGATCAACAAAGTTCTCCGTAGTTCTCGACATTTGAGAACTCTTAAGATTCAGTAGTACATAAATAATAAAACTAACAATTTGTTGTTAAAGTTTGAAATGAACGAAGCAGTTTTTATTTTGATGAGGTAATCTCGGCCTTTTTGAACTTTTGACATGTTCTTAAGGAACTGATAACTTGCCTAACACTCTAGTTTCACATATCTTCAAAACCTGATGGTGTACCTCTTTGAAATTTCAACCTTTGACTGTTTGATAAAACTTAATTTATGGTTTGCAGTATTAAAAATCTACCAAACTTGGTTACAAAAAATAAGGATAAGATAATTATAATTTCTGACAAGAATCATAATCCAGATAAATAGATTTTCTAAGATTAAAGGTTTATCAGCAGCGAGCTGTTGCTCCCTCAATCCCTGCTTTAATATTATGTTTAAATGTTTTCTCGCTTTGAAGTTTTCTTTGTTTTTACTATTCACAGTTTTGTTATTTTGATGTTCAGGTTTTCTTTAATCTGTTGCTACATCTTCTAAATGTAAAACTTATTCTTTACAAACGTTTATTAATGTAAAGATAGCAATACATTGAATATGGTTTAGCATAGAAATAAGTAAAAGAAAAATCTGAGTTCTTTTCCCCTATGTCCATTTGACAGCCCAAATTTTTATTTTGAATAATCTTTTTTGTTTGTTAATCTTCTTATGACTTTTTACATTTTTTATTTTTTTTTCTATCGATTTTGATGGTTATTATATCGTTAGAACTGACGAGGGTCAACCCAGACCGAAATATATTTTCAATAAATGTGGAACTAACATCTACTTTTTTACTCTACAGAGGTTTGGTCCATCACCATCACCGAAATTTAAAATGAAAAAAAGAGTTTTCCATAAATAAATGTTCATCAATATGAAATGAAACTACAATTATGCTTAACATATACAACTTATGGTTTATATTTAATGTAGGATTAGGTTACGGTAATAGTTTTTCGAAATATGTTGGAATTATGAAAATCGTGGTTTAAGACCATAATATAATATACCTATAATATCAAATATTTATGAGATATGTACAACTTGATGATCCACGACTTTGACATTCTTTATATACAGAAACCTTAAAACCTTAAAATAGTTTTAGTGACTGATTCTATATCCAATAGACGTACTTTTAAATTGAGGTTTAACTCCTTTAATCAGGGAAAGTTGTCAATTTTTGGCAGTAAATGTGTTACTCTCTACTTTGAAATATTCTGATAACGCGTTGTCAAGAGCAGTTACTTGGGGCTTTCGAGTTTTTATAGAGCATCTTTAAATCTGTAAGAGTGGTTTACATGGCCTGTTTGGTATTTTTAGAAAGATTCTGATGTCAGAATTAATGAATAGCGAGAATGAGTTCAACTAAATACAGTGCTCTTAGAGAAATAGTTTAACTAACCATACATAATTCAATTAAATCCTAGTCCAGATTTCCCCTTATTATTATCATTAGGTCAGGTATTAGGGTATCTTGAGGGCAAGCATAATTGGGTTGACTCCGGGACACCCAAGGGAGGAGACGGCAATATCCTGTATTATATTCTCATAACAACATGTCTTCATGCAATTGTATAAACAATAGATTGTTTTGGAAACGGTAGGACGGAGGGGGCAGGGGGGTTGGGGGGATTTAAAGAATGTTCAATTTTTAAAGTGCAATGCTACAAAAAGAATTTTAGACTTTTTATTGTTCTAGTCTAAATACATATAATAATCCCGTGAGTAGGATATGTGAGATAAATCTGGAATTCTGTGACAAAGTTAGGAATTTCCTGCTTTCTTTTCACACGGAGCAGTTATCTTACTCAACCCTTACATGTCCTTTCTTCCCTCCTTCTCCTACCCACCCCTTCATCTCCTACCCACCCCTTCATCTCCTACCCTCCCTTTCTTCTCCTACCCATCCCTTCCTAAATTTTGTGCATTTAATAAAGGAATTGAGTTTTTGTCACAACCCACATTTTAATAAAAACAGAGTTCCTATAAAGCTTTTTTTTTAAATTTAGTAAGTTTTCTGAATAAATACAGCCAAAAATACTATCTTGTACTGCATTATCATATAAAATGGTCTGCTTAAGCAGCAAAAATACTATCTTGTACTGCATTATCATCTAAAATGTTCTGCTTTGCTGCAAAAATACTATCTTGTACTGCATTATCATCTGAAATGTTCTGCTTATGCAACAAAAATACTATCTTGTACTGCATTATCATCTAAAATGTTCTGCTTAAGCAGCAAAAATACTATCTTGTACTGCATTATCATCTAAAATGTTCTGCTTATGGCGCAAAAATACTTTATTGTACTGCATCATCATCTAAAATGTTCTGCTTATGCCGCAAAAATACTATCTTGTACTGCATTATCATCTAAAATGTTCTGCCTATGCAGCAAAAATACTATCTTGCACTGCATTATCAACTAAAATGTTCTGCTTATGCAGCAAAAATACTATCTTGTACTGCATTATCAACTAAAATGTTCTGCTTATGCAGCAAAAATACTATCTTGTACTGCATTATCAACTAAAATGTTCTGCTTATGCAACAAAAATACTTTCTTGTACTGCATTATTAATAAAAATTTTCTGCTTATGCAACAAAAATACTATCTTGTACTTCATTATCATCTAAAATGTTCTGCTTAAGCAGCAAAAATCAATTAGTACTTTTCTAATTAATCCATAAAAACTAAAACTAAGAACGGAGAGCTTCGTAACTTTAAAAACTTGATGACGACGGGTATAAAATCAAGGATTAACAAATCCCACCTTGCACTGAATATTTGTTTTTCCTTTTAATGTTAACAAAAGCAATTTAAATGATTTATAAACATCGAAAGAGTGAAAAACAACGAACACTATGAAAACAACATTAAAAAACGTTTAAGATAAAATTCAAGAACTTGATGAAAACTTCTAGACACAATATTATTTTCTTTATTTCAGAGCGTCGAGGCAGGTGCGAAAATCAAACTACAAAGGAGAAGAATGTGGAGAAAAACTCTCATCTCAATCCGTTCTTAAATCCTCAGGATTCTCAGGGGTCAAATCCGTTCGAGGAAGATCTCCGGAGCTTGAACCCGTTCGAGAACCTGTCCCCGGATCCACAATTCAAACCCAGTAAGACGAATAATCCTTTCGAAAATGATTTATCAACGCCGAGAAATCCGTTCGAAGAGAGCTTCGAAAGTTCGAGTGTTATGACTGATTCCTGTGATAGTATTGGAGATCCTGAGACGTTGCAGGAGAACTTTGAAGACTATGAGAGCATGATGTCGGATATAGAGGAAACGCTGAGCATTCTCTCCAGAAACTCAAGAAGTACAACACCAGCCTCGGATCTGTTCAACTCTAGAACCCCGACCCCAAGTTTCGGACAGTTTTCATCCTACTCCACATCAGATTTATCTGTGAGAATTCCCAGATCTGTCTCGGATAAACACGTTATCCCTGTTGTTTCCGTATTCGATGATTTGAAAGATTATTTATCCGACTCTGATCTTTCACTGGATTATATGATTTCTATGCAGCGACGGAAGCACAAGAAACAGAAGAATCTTAACAAGCAAGCACAGTTAGCAAACTTTATCACTAGTAAAAAATCAACGAGGGAAGAGCAAGAAATTCCCAAGAGTGCGGAGAAAGATAAAAAGGTTGAACTTCAGTATTTAGAGAAAAGTTCGAGTTTTCTGACGAAAATTAGAAATGACACGAACTGCGCAGAAAGAAAGGACTCCGCAACTGAAGCATTCAGACCCAGTTATGGCGGTAGTAAACCCCAAAGCAAAATTTCAGAAAGTTTCACTGTTCCTGAAAAGTGTGTTAATGAGACGAATTCTCACAGATCATTTACTACCGAGAGTTATCAGGATGGGACGAATAGCTTGGAGAGAATGATCAATGATACAGGTAGCAACAAACTGACCGCAAGCAGAGACATTCTTCACCGAAGACAATCTAAGTCTCCGACTCCTCATAGAGATCCGTGCCTTGAACCTATCCCGGAGTTAGAGGAGAAGACAAGACTTGTTGCAAGTTATTTCGCCGAGGAAAAGAATTCGCAGGATCAACTTTATCCCGGACAGACAGGTTGGTGTCGCAAACATTTTATTTTCATTTGAAAACAACAAAATTAAATTTTCTCCTGCATCCTTATGGGATAAACAATTTCTTATGTCTAGGGTAGTAATTAGATTTAAAGATTTAAATATGTCAAATTGTAAATCTTGTAAAAAACACTCTTTTACTTATTTCTTATTCCTGCTCAAACTTGAACTTTATCTGGTTTATTTCAGGCTCTTTGAAGCGAAGAAAAGACGCAAGGACTGCCTCTCTTACTAGTTTGCTAAACTCTAAATCAGCAGAAACGAACGAGGCGGAACAAGCAACATTTATTTCTCCGGCAAATCCGTCTCATCCGTCCCTGTGCTCTACTCCGGAGAAGGGCCCGTTCACTCGAACCTTCCAGCTCTTTCAACAGAAACCAGTGATATCCAGGGTTGCGGTAAATAAGTCAGTTCTCAGTATTCGTCCGTTTAGAAAGGAGAACTCTGTCCCTCCAAATATAACAGAAAATTCGTCCTACACCTCCTTCCCATCCTCAAACCGGAGCTGGGACGGAAACCTAAGAAGCTCCGCCTCTGAAAGTAAACTGAATACTTTACTAAATTCTCCGTTACACGCTCCAGATACTGCTTTTTCAGACAAAGGTTTGCAAGGATTGGATGCAGAGTTACAATACGAGACTGAAACCGAATCCAGGATAGGGGTTGATAATCAGGAATGTTCTAGTGAATCCCGAGAGAGAAGTAATTCAACCCAGTCCTTGCATTCCTTCAGCCGCCAACTGGCCGAGGACAGGATGCAGAAAATTCGGGAGATGAGGAACCAGTTCCTGGGAATTGAAACTAAAGGTTCCGTGAGTTTATGGAACTCGGAAAATTCGGGTTCAAATGGGATTGGAAGCAGGAATCTGAGAAGTCAAAGCTTGGAGCCTGAAACAACTAAACTGGGATCTTTTTCTTGGAACTTGACCCCTAAACCTTATTCCTCCGGGTTCTACGAGAGCACTGAGCAAGGATTAATGACAAGACAAAACTCAGGTTAGTTTTCATACTTTTTTTAGTATATTTTATTGCTTAGAAAATGAAACTTTTTACGAGTTCATCTATTTTCTTGTTAAGAATCGGTTTCATTAGCTGACATCAAATCCATCCGCCCTGCTCCGGCCAGCAATGAAGGTTTGTTTCACGCAGTTCCAGTGCGAGTAAATTCCAGTGGATCAGATGATTCAAGTCCAGATGAGGGGGAGGAGAAGGTTGAAGAAGAAGACGAGGATGAGGATGAGGATGATGATGATGAAGATGCTCGAACTGTAATCTACAAATCTCCTTTTTCCAGTCCAGGTATAAGATATATTTTTAAACAAAAAACAACAATTATCTTGAGATTTTTTTTCAGGTCTAGTTTTATCTCGTTCTGCGAGTCTAACAATGACCCCCCTCTCATACAGTCCAAGGTGTACACCACTTCCCCCCTTTAGCGTCAATCTTCCCCCTATTCCATCCTCCTCCTTCCCCTCATCTGTCTCCTTGCCTCCCGTAGCTCCTGTTCGCCCCGCCTCCTGTGATCCGAATGGGGTTTCAAGCTCCCTGGATTCTCCGTCTCCGTCCCCTCCGCCCCGACCTCCTCCGCCAACCAACTATATTCCGTCCTATGATCACTTTGCATCCCTTCCCAGAAACTGGAAAACTAAACTTCCATTTAAAACAACATAAATCATATTTTAATAATATTTTATTTCTTTATTTTATTCCTCCTCCGATACTAACACAATAGCTCTCAGGTTTTATTTTGCATTTTTATATAATTTTATTGCTGAAATATATAGCTAGCTTAAAGTGTTGCATAAAATTTGAGAAAGGAGTGTGTTTATCAAAGGATAATATAATCAGAACAAAAGAACTGCTTAAAAGGGACTGCCGTTGTAATTTCCGGTGACACACCATTTAGAGAGCTGGTTATATCTAATTCACAACGCTACAACCTTTATCTGATCAATAATTCGGAAGGTATTGTCGTTCTTTTAGCTTGAAAAGTGTTAAAATCTGAAATTCCTTTATTGTTCCAGGAGACAATTTCCACAAGTCACTTTTATGGAGAAAGCACAGTTGAAAATAAACAAGTTTCAAAGAGAAAAATACTTAACCAAAGCTTTCAAGGATACCTTGATGAATCGGACATGTCACTTTTTAAATGATAAGACACTTGAAATTAAATTTAAATCCATTTAAAAAGGGAGAGACTGGCTATTTAAGGTAGTTAACCTGAGTATGCAGTGTTGTGGACAAATTCTTTAGCATGAAAATTTGAGGCAAATCTGTTCAGGGGTTCATGAGTTATGATCGGACGTAAAACAAACAAACAGAGATTACTACTTTGAATATATAGATATTGATATTGATAAAGTTGGAAGAGCTAAATCTTTAATCCTGAATGAAACCAGGATTAGTAAAGCTCTGGAGACTGTCCTCCAGGAAACCAGAGTTGGTGAAACTAGGAAGGTTTTCATCTGCATCTTCTCCAATCTAAACAAGAGACCAGTTTAGACGAGCAATTGGACAAGCTTAGACGAGTTTAGAAAAGTTTAGACGAGTTTAGACCAGTTTAGACGAGTTTAGACCAGTTTAGACGAGTTTAGACGAGTTGAGACGAGTTCAGATATTTTAGTCTTTAAAAGATGTCCAAATTTTGAGCATACATCTAGGAGAAATATGCTTGATTTAAAGGGACTGAAGAGTAATTCCAAGTGACCCTCCATGCAAAGATGGCAATGTCCGATTCACAACGGTACCCTTGAAACCTTTATCTGATTAGTAATGTGGAAGATATTGTTGTTTTTCTAGGTTGAAAAGTTTGTAATTGTGACAATTCCTGTATGTTTTCCTGTAGTGGAAATACGCGCATGTCACATGAAACCACAATTTAAAATAATCAGTTTTCAAAATTATAAACATTGATATCTAATTCATATTTGATCTGATAAAGCTTTAAAGAGTACCGTTGTGAATCGAGTACTGCCAACTTTGCATGAAGGGTCACTTGAAATTACGCTTACAGCATCTTAAAGGAAATAATATTTTCATGATGCGAAGGTTACTGCCCTAGTCTTATGCCCCCCATTCATTGAAATTAAAATATATTTAATATTTCTACATCTCAACAATACAGGGTGTCCCACATCATTTAAGACCGAGATCGGGTCATAATTACGATTTTCGGGACTAATTAGAAAATTTCATTAGAATGAATCATTTTGAAAAATAACATAAGGCTTATATAAGAATTTTCTTGCGGAAAATGATAAGTTTTTCGAGTATTAAGGGTTTATTTTGGTGTTAAAAATTGGAGATATCTAATATGATATGGGACGCTCTGTACTTCTGAAATTTTCGTTTTCCCTCATGAAAAATTTTCAAGAATTTTACAAATACATAAACTTTAGACTAATGTTAAAATCTGCATTTTCTTTGATGAAACAGCAGAATTTTCAGGAATTAGGAAATATTTTTCTCAGGAATAGACTTATACTGCTTTTTAAAGGATTGTAAAATAAACTTGAAAGAATAAATGAATAGAACTTCCCCCGTTCTGCACAATCATCATGTTTTCTACTTATTTGTTATATGATTTCTAATATGTTGAAAAAGGTTAAAATCAAACTCTAGAAGTTTAGATTTACCTGAGCAAGTGTCCAGGCAAGTTCATTTCGCATAATCTCTTCGAGGCAGGTCTTAAAGGGTTAAAATATATGCTTCTCAAAATATCTTCAAAGGGATTAATAAACTATTTCAAAATACTCACAGTACCCCATAACTCGGGACAAAGAATTCACAACTAAGTTTATCTTATAACCGCCAGAACATGCTCCAAAGTTTTGGAATAGAAAGGTTAACAGTTAGCTTTTATATTTTTTATATTTCTCAGACATTGAATTAACAGTTTTAAACTTTTCAGCATCCAAAGTTTTGGAATAAAAAGGTTAACAGTTAGCTTTTATATTTTTTATATTTCTCAGACATGTAATTAACAGTTTTAAACTTTTCAGCATAATAAAATAATAAATTCTGTAAGTTTCATTATGGTAAAAACTTCTTCTCAAAAACAATTTGGTATAAATAATTTGGAAAAACATACCTTTGACATTGAGTCTTTTGAATGAGCTATTTCCCAACTTTGTGATAAAACTCTTTCCATTTCTTTTCTCTTTTGTTTCCTCATTATCCTGTGTTAAAAAGAAAGCTTTAATCATTTCCAATAAGAAAACCATAATTTCGAGCATTTTCTCTATTCGAAGATGCAATTTAAAATGGCGCCTATTTGTTTGTGCATTTCTCTTGTAAATAAAATGGCGTCATGCATGGAGCGGACTCTTGAATGGGGCGGACTCTCCTAACGTTTTAACCATTTAGACACAATGTTAGACATAAAAAGCAATGTTATGACATTTTCCGATATTTATTAATTTATTTTGATTGGAAAAACACATTAAAAATTATCTATGTCTTGATTAATTCTTCATTGTTTTCATGATTTGAAAGGAAGACGACATTCAAGAGAATATAACTTTTTTGTCTTTACACCCTTTTTAAAGACATTTAAGAACAAAATGCGTATTTAACTAATAATATATATATATAATATATATAATATAATAATATCCATGCAGTCGAGTCCGCCCATGCAGTCGAGTCCGCCCCATGCAGTCGGGTCCGCTCCATGCGCTACACCGGTTTTACCTGCGCCATTGGGTTTCCTCAAGTTAGAATCCAAATATCGTCATCCAGGCGCAGAGAGATATAGATAGAAGAGGGAATAATATTAGCATCAAAACCATTCTAATCATCCTTTATAAAAATTTGGATTGAAAAAAAGTTGTAATTTTCATTGTCTTTATTTTCTATGTGCCAAGATATCTAAGAGCATACAAGTTAAGATTAATTTGAAATGTCGTCTTCCGAAAAGAGTTTTCAAAGGCTTTATAATAGATAATTACTAAACTTACAATACTGAAGGTTTTATACAAAAAATAGGTAATTTCCTAGTATACGATTTTTGGACCCCCCCCAGGCCCCCCCCCCTCCTATCAATTTTGTACATGGGTGTGACAGGAAGTTTCTTAACTTAACCTAACCCGTGGCCGCAGCGCTCGGCACCCTAGCCCATCCTAGCCGCAGCGCTCGGCCCAGAAAGTATCTTAACCTAACCTAACCCTAACAAAAAAATAAATAATAATAAATTTGCTGAAAAATAAATGGTCATGTACAAAATTGATAGGAGGGGGGGGTCCAAAAATCGTATACTAGGACAGACCCAAAAAATATTCTCTGCAACCAATTTACAGACAACAAAGGAAAAATAATATACATATAATTTCCAAAGTTTAATTCTGTAGTTAACTCAATTCGTTTTCCCTCCGATTTTACAATCGTGCTTTAAAGTTTCTTTTTACCTTTCTGTCATGAATACCATAGTCCAGACTGCTGCTAGAATACCAAGGAAAAATGCATCAGCTCCGAGGTAAAACATCACTAGGCTATTGCTCCTTTTATACAAAGTATATGTAAGACGATATTTATAAAAACGAAGACGACATTGTAAGTTTTGTGTACCTGAATATTGCTCCGATGACAAGGAGGATATCTATGGGAATGTGAGATATCAGCAAACCATAAACTAAACACCGGATCAAGCACGATTAAATCATCAATAAAAAACTTCTTCTAAAGCTAACTAGCCTCCCTCTCCCCTTACATAATATTATTGTGTGTCTTACTTATAAAAGCGGAACTCGGTGTGGACGTTCTAGAGGATGTACTTTTAAGTATCTATTCGAAGGCGTGAATTGATGGAATTGATGAGGACACATGCATAATGAAGATTCGCCGTAAAGGAGGACGCACTTGTAATTTATTTAAATACGCACTTAAAAGATGCATTAATAAGGGTGCACAAAATTCTAACAAAAATTGCAGTGGAGGTTACAGAAATTGATTAGAATAAAAAAAATCAGATTGCGCCCCGTATTAAAGCACAGCACTATTGCTATGTATTATGCTCAATAATAACTTGATTCTGCCGTGTAACTATTTCAAAGTTTTTTGGTTATCACTGTATTTGGGTTTTTTACATAAAATGGAATAAAAATTTTAAATTATTGATTTGCTTATTTTTTTTCTAACATTATTATACCTAGAGCTGAAAACTTTAGAATTGTGGATATCGAGATCAATGCTTGATCTTTTCTTTTTGTTAATCTCAAGATTAATTAAATCTTAAGTCCTTTTCGACCAAGTGTATATAACTCAATCAATCGAGTTGCGCTTGGAGAAGCAGGAACAACCAATCAGGGAAGCCGGGAAACTTGAAATTATGCGCGCCATTTAATGAATGAACTCTCGGAAACTGGAAGAGAGAGAAACAGAGCTGATTAAGCAAGAAATTAAAAGTGTCCACATTGGATATTCAGATTAAGAAATCGGGATAAAGGGTATCAAATTCTAAAGTTCCCAGCTCAGAACTTTTTAATGAAAATGAATTTATTTAACGCGCAGGTGATGATTGTATTAAAAAAGCTGCTCCCTGCGTCTGGAAATAATGAATTGAAGACGACAAACACACACGAGTTCTCCGTGTTGTTGTACACTAGGGTCCAATTCACCTCACCAAACCTTAAATGTAAATTATGAAAAATATTTCAATAAAATAATGAAAAAGACAAATAATTTTTATGAATTAGTAGACAGTCAGATTAAGACTGTTCGACATAATTTAATATATTAGTCCAATTAAAATAAAACACAACAATTTTGTGAACACACTTTAGTTATAAAGTTGATTTTAGTTCATGGTAAATCTATATGCTTTTTGACTACATCAATTACACATAAGATTGCTTTAATGTCGTCTTCCTCCTGTTCTTTTGTGTATCCCACTGTATCGAAACCGCATGAAACGACATTATAACAACCTCAGAATGTATATACCAAAAAACCGAATAAAAAAATAAAAATTTCAAACGGCTAAATATCAAACGGCTATTCTTTCACCGACTAAAGAGAAAGTTTCAAGAAAAGATATGGAGTGCATTTATTGTAGGAATTTCAGTGAGCAGGTTGAAAAGTGATATCTTTTACCTATCATATTTCCAGCAATGTTTTTCTTCCAGAACCTATAATATAAATTTTTTAACACAATAAACGGGGGAACTGATTTTAACCATGTATTTTGTGTAGAGCCTAGCTCGCATGCACCATAACATAATCCATAACTTGAACCAAAACATGAACATACCTTGGACCATAACATGAACCATAACATGATCCATGACATAAACCAAAACATGGACCATAACATGATCCATAGTATGCACCATAACATGATCCATTACATGTACCAAAACATGGACCATAACATGATCCATAGTATGCATCATAGCATGATCCATAGCATGCATCATAACATGATCCATAGCATGAACTAAAACATGAAACATACCATGAATCTTAACATGAACCATAACATGAACCATGGACCATAACATGAACATAACATGAACCCCAACATGAACCACAACATGAACGGTAACATGAGCCACAACAAGATCCATACTGTGGATGCCCTATATAGTATAGTTAATGAGCGACCATACCATGGACCATAACATGAACCATAACATGATCCATAACATGAACCAAAACATGGATAATAAAATGAACCATAACATACACCATAATATGAACCATAACATGAACCAAAACATGAACCATAACATAAACCATAACATAGATCAAACATGAACCATACCATGAATCTTAACATGACCCATTAACCATAACATGAACCATAACATGAACCATAACATGAACCAAAACATAAACCAAACCATGGACCATGACATGAACCATAACATAAACCAAAACTTGAACCAAAACATGCACCATAACATGAACCATACCATGAATCTTAACATGAACAATGGACCATAACATGAACTTAAACATAGTATAGTTAATGAGCGACCAGGATTAAAAAATGCCCTCTTTTAATTGTTGAATAAAATGAGGAATATGCTCTAATTCATTCAGTATTTTATTTAAACACTGTATTTATGCCAAAATGATAAAAACCCCATCAATCTTTTGTATTTTCTCACCTTGTATATAGAGATACATTTAAGAATACTAAATAAACTGACCTGCTGAATGATTGATTGTATATAATCTTTGTTGAAAACGACAACGAGAATAAAACTCAAACAAACTGTAAAAATGCAGTTTAGGGAACTAACTAAATCAAAACTAAAAAGTTCTTGTAAAAATAAACAAACAATATAAATATAGAATTGAAATTCGCAAAAGAAAGAAAAATCATCATTTAAATATTATAAACTGCAATTTTCCTGCTATGCTAACTTTCGATGAAAATATTGAAAAATTGTTAAATAAAAAGAAACAAAGTCCATTAAGACAAAGAATTACGTACAAAATAAAGTTAGAAGATCTTTTTTCACTTAAAGTTTTAAGAAATCCGAACTTTTAGATAACTTTTGAAAACTTTTTGATTACAGGTTTATTTTTTTAATGTTTCATGACAAATTTTTTCTCAATAATTTCCTAAAGCAATAATAACTGTCCTCCAAACATAATTCATACATATTCTGCACATTCTGATCCTAAAATACATATTCTACACATTCTGATTCTAAAATACATATTCTACACATTCTGATTCTAAAATACATATTCTGCACATTCTGATTCTAAAATACATATTCTACTCATTCTGATTCTAAAATACATATTCTACACATTCTGATTCTAAAATACATATTCTACACATTCTGATTCTAAAATACATATTCTACACATTTTTATTCTAAAATACATATTCTACACATTCTGATCCTAAAATACATATTCTACACATTCTGATCCTACAATACATATTCTACACATTCTAATATAAACGTATTATACTTATTTTGATTCTAAAATACATTTTGTACATATTTTGTACATGTTCTGATTCAAAGAAAATTCTTTTTGAGTTTTTCAAAATTTAAGAACGAAAAAGAGAAATTTTTAAAGTTGATTTAATTAATTTTGAAACTGCTAATTTAGTTATAAAACCATTGAAAACCTTGCAGGATTCAATTAAATCATTTGACAGTTTGTATATGAATAGAGTTCAAAGAAAACTGTTGCACACGAGAAAATAATTCTAATCATACTACTAGGATAAATAAAATCATGTGAATTTTTCTTATAAGATGTAACCTTGAACGATAATAATTGTTTGAAAGTTTTTTTCCTTTACTATTCCATTCACACAAAAAGTTTAAGTACTTTTTAGACATTTCTGTTAAAAGAATTGAAAAATAAAAGAATTAAATATTTTATTCTAGCGTCATATTTAAATTATTATTGCTAAGTATAGCTAAAAACTGCACTAATATGAAGACTGGTATATTTTATCTTGTTTGATCAATATTTCCTCCAGCTCTCTAACCTCTACTGAACCTTAGAAAATGGCTAGAATTTGGAAGTAATTAACTTTTAAATCCTTTTTTTGATTCCTTTCTCATTCCCTTTCAATTCAAACCTACTTTTGTTTTCTATTCTCTGAATTTTGTTTACTTTCATCTAATATTCCCCTTTTTCCCATTTTGCAGACTATTTTCCTTTACTGTCCTTACCTCTTTTTTACGTAAAGGAACTGAGCTTTTGCCAAACCCTGCCTACACCTTTGCAATTTGTTAATGTAAGTTTTTGATTTTTAACTTAGAGTATTCTGTCCAGCAGAATTCCTAGTTTGTAATATCAAAGGTCTATGACATTGGATTGCAAAGATAAAGAGATTTTGTGGTTAAAACTCAGTTCCTTTCTTAATCTTCATTTTTACTTTTTTAAAACTTCCTGTATTTTATTCCTAAATCTAAAATATTTGTCTATGTACGTATACAACAATTCCAAATCTGGGATTTCTTGTATTCATGAATGTTTCCTGCGATAAAAATATATTTCTCCGTCTCTGCTTCCTTCTCTTTCAGGAAGAACTATTAAAGTCTCCTAGGCTCACACCCCCCTGGGATTATTCTTCTTTATATTTCAGGCAGGTGCCATAATTTCACACTTGTATAGACCCTTTGTCCACTACCCCCCCTCCCTCCCTCTCCCTTCCCTACAGCTTTCTTAAACATTTTCAGCTCCTTAGTCCTACTCCCAATATTTTACTGATTGTATTCAGTATTTATTCAGACCCGGAGTTGGTTCTGTTCTTCTCTATTCTTCTGAGTATCCGGAGCAAGGACAATAGTTCTGCTTGTTAGCAGGGCTTGTGTGAGAATATACAAGCTTCTTCTCACCCTAGAGTTCTTTTACCCAACCAAGGTTCCTGGAAACCAGTTTAGAAAAAATATTCTTTATTCTTAGTATTATACTTTTTTTCTTTTCAAGGTTATAATTCTAGTTTTTTTTTCAAAAAGGAAGCACAGCTATATTTAAACTCGTTAAAAAATAAACTGCATGTGGATAAAACAAATATGTATCTGCAATTTGAATGTTCAAAATCAAACTGTAATTCATGTATTTCTGAATAAATAAATGTGCCATCCTTAGTTCTGAGCCAGCTATTGATTCTGATTGAGCTAAATAACCCTCCCCCACTCTCTCTTCCTAATACTTTGCCCCTACTTATTGGACGAAACACCTCCAATTGTATGATTTAAAAATTATATCATACAGTTACATCCGGGTTTGCCATTAAAGACGGCCAATGTTGGCTTGGCAAATCCCGTCATTAAAGTGTTAGTTTAAAGAATATATCTATGTAAAATTATGTACTTTAATGATAAATATATAAATATCTATCTATCTATCTAACTTATATTGAATTTGTGGTTAACGTTATGTAAAGGAAATTGAATTTTTGTTCCAAACACAAATTTTCTTTGCAACCTGATGGTGTAAACCATCAATGATTCAAAGTTAAATTATTTCATCTTACAGAATTCATAGTTTGAATTATCAAAGGTCGGCAACATCAAGTTGCAAGGATATAAGGATTATAAAATCAGATTTTGTGGCAAGAACTCAGTTCCTTTAGTCTCTATTTAGTAGTTAGAGTAGATTTACCGTCATACTGTTTATTTATGAATTGTTATAATATCATTTAACATTGAACATCATTAAAAAACGGAAAACAAGACAATTAACAAGCTGAGAACAAAAAAAGATAAATTCCTTAGCACCCAACCTGATACCCATGGTCAAGATGTCCTACTCCAGGTTCATGTTTCGTAAAAGAGTAGATATTTTTACGTTCCGTCTAACCGAGTTTTTATCTTGTTCTGGTGTTGGTTGCATCCCTTGAATCCTGGAGTTCGGAATTCCTGTCATTAGTCTTTATTCTTAGGATACATTGTCTCTACTCCAGGTTCAAGGTTAAGGTTGATTACAAGTTCGGAGCATTATCATACATGACAAGGTTGGGTTTATTTGGTTCGGAGCAATATCATTCATAACAAGTTTGGGTTTACTTAGTTCGGACCAAATTCATTTATGATTTTTTATAGCAATATTTCAACCGTTAAAAAAGAGTTGAGAGAAATATTAATCCATAACAAATCACGATCAAATATATTGGCTTGGCTTAACCTTTTTACACCTGGTGATCGCGGATTTAATAATCCGATCGTTTGATGAAATCAATATGGGGATCTCCGTCTCATTTATCAAGGTTTAAGAGTCAGCACGGGGACCCTGAGATTAGTTCTACACATTCATCCAGTTCTTCTAACTTCCGGAGTAATCCTTAATCTCATCCTGGTTTAGAATTTCGAACTCTTCAACCCTTTTTCTTCCTGTCCCACCTATGACCATTTGTATTTGTTAAATAATTTAACCTTATTTTCATTTGGCACGTTAAATATTTTTTCATTATTTTTAATTTTTCTTTCGTTTCCCAGAAATCTTTTTTTTGCCACTAAATCAGTATTTTTTGTGCCCCCAATTTAACCTTATTTTCCTATCTCTCCCAACAATTTTATTTCATTTTCTCCTTTTTTGATCTTTCATTCCATTTAATATTATCATACACAAGCTTGAGAACCCATCGTTGCCCATGTTACTCATAGTTACTTCCGCCGTTTACCCGCGCTTGGTCGTAAATTACGATTTTAGCCATTTTCCCTCTACAAATCAACTTAGAATTTCAAAACCAAGTTAAGAACATTTCCGTAGCTCTGCCGAGTTCCCTAATCAAAAATTGAAGCAAATCGGTCAAGGGGTTCATGAGTTATGATCGGACAACAGAAAAACAGAGATTACTACTTTGTATGTTTATATAATATTATCTAGTCAACCTAACATTTTTTCCTTTATTTACATATTTCTACCTCATTTTCACCTACAATTTTCTCATATTAAGTGCGCACAATAATTCACTCAAGTAAACCTCCTAGCTCTTATTAAATGATTTAGTAAATATAATTACTGTGCCTAGCCTGAATATTTATTAAGTATGTGCGATTATATAATCATACAGCAGTTCTATCGGAGTTTAGGGGTAATTAAGATGTAGGCGTAGGTATCTTCCAGGGAGGGGGGTAATTGTATGTTCGTGAAAGTGTGTATGTGTATGTGTGGTCCAAATTAATGGAACACATGCTCCCGTCCTATCCTCTCTCAATACCCAGACTGAGTAGAGATAAATATAAAAACATGCTTCTCTTTACAGTTTAACTCAAATTTTACATTGCTCCGGATAAGAATCTGGGTTCAGTTTAAAATAATGAACCAAACTCCGGGTAGGATAACAGTTGGAGAACATTTAACCCTTTAACTAAATCAATTTCCTAAAAATGGTAACTTTAAACTCTTTCATTTATTATTTCGAAGCTATAATTTTAAATCCAACTTTACGATTATTAAAAAGCCCGAAACTCCCAAACTGTTGCCACGTGATCGACGGTTCTATAATATTTCAAATTGGTTTAAAAACATTTTAAAATGTAAAGTATTCCCCATTTGTTTAGATGGCCAACCATAAGTCTAAATATATAAATTGTCATGACTTATTAAAGTTGAATATGCACTTTCTCTTCTTTCAAACTTATGCGATTTTTGCGGCTGAATTTGTACTATAGCATTATGAACATCTTTAAGTAATATATACAAAACTAATCTAGGCAAAAATAGAGAAATATAGAGAAGAGAGAAATGTCATTGTTGGTCATGGAAGTTGGTGTCGGATAAATTTAATTTCCAGACAAA